AATGTAAAGACTAAATCGAATATCTGAAGATTTGGAGGCTAACGAACCAACCAACACCAGAGACGTACCTCGTAGGAGTAACTGAGGTCCTCCTCGTTGGCCTGCTCCTGCTGTACTATCATCTCCGAGGTGAACTCGCTCTGCTCGCCGTCGTCCGCTTCCAGAAAGTTCTCGGTGAAATCCTCCAGCTCGTCCAGCACGGCGAACTCGACTTTGTTCTCCTGGTCGGCCTCGGGTTCTTCGCTCTTTCTATCTAGGCCGAGGGCGCGGCCGCCCGCGCCTGAGCTGGCCTGTCCCGCTGCCTGCCCTAGGCCGTCATGCACCTGACCGTTCCCTAGGTCCTGCTCTCCATCGCCTATCTGCCCTAAGCCTGTGTACAGAACCTTCCTGTCTTTGCTTTTGCTGCTGTCGCTGCCGAAGCTGACGCTGATCTTAACGTCTCTGAGGAGCTTAAGGTCGGGGAGGAATTTGGTGACGGGGGGCGCGTGGCGGGCGGTTCTAGGGCACGAGCCGCTGGGGTCACCGGAGTCGTCGGCCGCGCAGCGGCTGCTAAAGGACGCGGAGCCCTTGGTAAGAAGCAAGCTTGGCACGTCCCTGTCCTCTGCCGGGGTGAGCGCGGGTCCATCACCACCAGAGCTAACGTCCATTTCCTCGGCGTCACTGGACGTTTGCAGGGGAGGTGGTGGAGGTGCTTTACACGTACCGTTCCCCGACCCTTCGGCATCGGGGGGCTCCAGCGGGAGAGGGGGCAAGAACTCACTGAAATCCATTGTCCAATTTCTAATAAAAACCCAAAATGTCTTGACGAAATGCCTAGGGATAATTGAACGCCGTAGCCTGGGAGATACCTGCCTCGCGTATTAATCTAATAATGTATTAAAACTAATAATTAACGGCCCAACTACACAGCTAAGAACATCACACGGCTTTTAAAACAAAACGCTCATGTGCAGATCAGTGTTGAATACGCTAAGCTGACTACATTGTTCTTTTCATTAATGTAGACAGCTTTTTAGAAATCACTGTCTCAATTATTGGAAATCACAATGCATTCAGCTTAAACCTTGCCCACTTCTACGCACTGTCCATCCTCGCAGGCCGAGTCTTCTGCCAGAGCTGGAAGAGGTCAAACGAGAGGAGAGAAGAGGTCAACATGCTACAGGACACACCATTCAGTTATCAATACACTGCCCTTTCTTTAATGATGGAACTGACTGCATAAGTTAATCGATAACACAAATGCAGTACTGGTAAATATCTTGTGCACGGCTCCAGATCTGACTGGCCATTACAGACTTAAGAAGCTAATGTTTCAGAACAAGGCTGCCCAAATTTGAGGACATCTGATTTAATACCCTTAAATAAATTCCTAAATATTTTCCTTTTAAATATTTTAGTTTAAAATAATGCTATAAAATACTTCTATTTTACACATATACACTGTTTTGTCTTTTTGGCCCTCGGACCACCACCAATACTACAAAACCAATTATTTGGGCACCCCTGTTCTACCAAGTGAACCTTAAGCAGTGCATCGAACTCATGAAACTACACAACCAGTAAAAATATCTATTGAGTAGAGATTAATAAACAGTTACAGGCTACTTGATTTGATGTTGTTGTAATTTAAAATGAAAGTTGTGTGCTGGACGTTACTGAAAAGAGGCGTATCAATCATAGAAAATGCATATTGTTATATATTAGTACTACATTAACTGTAATACTTTATAATATTACATATTTATATTATTTATACATAACATTTATATATTTATATTACTGAAATAAATCCCTTCAATCAAACTTAACCACTCTGAAAACTTTGAAAAAAGCAGATTAACAACTGAACGTCTACTAATAAAGTCTATATATTGATTTTAACTAAGTAAGCTGCCAATTTTAGGAAGATCGATTCTGAGGTGATATTCCATTTACTGAACTGAAAACTAAATTCTTTGTGGAAAATTCCAGTTTGTTCAAAAATAAGCAAACCTGCCCAAAAATTCTATTATCTTTCACGGTATAAAGAATCATATCAATCATATATTATGACAAACAGTTGTACAGACTGCTTCAGTTGTGTGTTTTGAGAAGTATCGTGAATCGTATCGCATCCTAACATCGAAAATATCGAATCGTTGCCTTACAAATTAAAATCGTATCGGATTTTGTCGAACAACGTGTTGTAAATCCCTAATCAGCAGAAGTAAAAACGACTCTGGACACCAAAATATACCAAAAGTTGTAACACAAATGAACTAACAGCTCAAAGAAAATCTCAAATTTATGTGCTATTTAATTGCTTTGTAAAGCTCAGCCAGACAGCCGTTCAACATATATCACTATCAAACCTGGTTTAGAGGATATTTTAATGATGTATCTCCGAAACGCATCCATACACAGTTTTAAACGAAGTGACTGCATGACGTTTCGTTTATAATTAGCGAGCTGCTAATTAATGATAGAAAGCTAACGGAGCCCAAACCGACATTAGCTGGCTAACATTAGCTCGGACTCGCCAAACTCGACATAAAACGGAGATGACAAGACGATTTGGGCCAAACTAACCCCCAGCAATGCCCTAAATAATGTCTGCGTATGCTTACCCACCTATCTAAACCAGAATGACCAGAGAATCTTCAGGCAATCGCGCTATTTTTCTCGTTTTTGCAGGATTCAGGCGGCCACCCGCCTCGCTCCGCCATCTTCTATCGCCTTGGTAGCAACTCGTGAACGAATCGATCCTTTTCGACCGGATCTTTTCCAATGAATCGGTCGAACCGACTCTTAAATAAAGCGATGACGTTGATCATGTCTTTGTTGTATTGAAGGGCAATCCCACCGATTTTTCCAAAAGATTCTGTATAATTCAGTGTTTGGGATGTAAACAAAGTCGTTCAGAGTGGTTTGATGTCAAATGATTCATTCTAGAGATGCTTACAGACTCTTTACAGTGGTGGTGATAGGAACCAGGAGTCGCCATGACTACAACACAGATATAGACATTTTATTTACTATCCAAAACCACCAGAGAACCTATACGAGTCTTCTGAGTTTTATATGGCATGTTGATGGTGGTAAAATAGTGAAAAATCTGGAAAAATGCATTTTCTTGTGGGACTATTTTGCTTTATAACTCTCTACATGTACCCCTCAGTCATGAATAGCTCTTCAAGTATACGTTTCAGGCCAAAACTTTCTCTCTAAAGTATTGAGAAACCATGTGGGAGACATCAGAAAGTGTATTCATAACCATTTCATTAATCACTTTGAGGGCGTGAGGGAGCTTTTATAGGCATTAAACACTTCGGACGTCTGGTTCCTATCACCACCACTGTGAACTATTATGACTGTAAGGTTCTCTAGATGTGAGCATTTCACACCAAACCACTCAGAATGACTTTTTTTTGCATCTTGGCTATTTAATTATGCAGGAACTTATATGCAGGAATAATCCGTGGAATTTTCCTTTAATGACATTCTGATAATAATCCTTCGCACTTTTATCTCGTAATATCATGATATAAATCTCAGTGAATCGAATCTATGGAGGCAATGAGGAGGAAATCCAAATAAATTTAGGTTAATGCCACAAAGTTAGAAGCTCATTCCCAAGCTTTGGCATACTAGTCAACTCAGTGATATGGACGAATAAACAGTGAATATCTGAAAAGACTAAGCGAATCAATGAGCTTTTGAATCGGACGTTCGATTCATTAAAACGGACAGTTCAAACGAATCGGTTCTGTAAACCGTATCGAACTCCCCATCACGATTTTGGCGCACTCCGCCTCTTTGCCGGTGCGGTGCGTCATCGTTGATCCCCCGGCATATCCTTGCACCCCGAAGACCCTTTGGTCCCCATTGCGTCTGCCTGATTTAAAATCCGGCCAATTTGTCCATTCTCCACTAAGGCTGTGCTAAAATACAACATTATAAATCGGCTTTTCGTGGCCCTACTCTCCTTCTTAGTGTTTTATGTTTTTTTATCTGCCTTATCACACCTAATTAGATCATTAATCCGCCCTTTGAGAGGTTTAAAAAGGAAGCGCTGGAGCAGGCAAGCCCAAATGTGCAGGACAGGAGGATACGCATTATTAAAGTACTAATAGTTAAATAATAGAAAACTATCAAATAACAAAAAAAACGAGTTTTAATCTTATAAATTAAGTGTACAAAAGCACATTTTTTCCCTATACGTGACTCAAAGCCTTACTATGAAAGGCTATGCTCTTTCTGACGATAGCAATGCACTGTTCTGGTAGCCTAATGTTTTTTGGCCTTCATAACAGAGCTCTATGATAGAATTCAATCATAATATAACAGTGAGAGGATAATGTCTGTTATTAACAAAGACCACAGTAATGCAACAGGAAAAGAAAAAAAAAACACACCCACACACAGCCACACTGCCCTTTTATATACTTCACTATTTGAATAGCGATGCTCATGAGAGAAATGTCCTTTTGGACCGGTTTACAGCTGCAACTGAACTGTATTTATTCATTTAATAATTTAATAAAATTCAAATAACACTCTTATTACAAAATGTCACACTGCAACGTATAAAGAACGGCCTCGGTGCACATCCCCTCTTGTTTTATTCAACATTTCGAGTTCGTTTACGTTAATAAATGAAATTTTGTTGTAATAATTCTGTATTTATTATTTATTCACATTAATTTCTTGATACATGTTCTACCTGGCTGCATATATTGCTTTTATGTATCTCATTTTTTCCTTCATCTGTTTCCATTATATTTTAAATGCATGGTTTAACAATTAACTCAAAATAATTAAAATAAAAGAGAGAGAGAGAGAGAGAGAGAGAGAGAGAGAGAGAGCGAGAGAGCGAAAAAGCTGCTCGCCTCGTCCAGTGAGATCGCGACAGGCAGGAAAAACAAGGGGTGCAGAATTGGGCGGCGTGCGAATAATGACGCGCCGCCCCCCTCGGCTCGTCTTTGCCAGCCGACGCTGATTGGCTGGACCAAGCCAGACCGCGACGTCACACGGTTGCGTATGTAGAGTAACGTTAGAGGAAGTTCTTCTAGCGTTTTCTCTTTAGCACAAAAAGACGGCGATCCGGCTGATTTAAATCATCGGTAACCTCGAAAATATAACATTTCGACCGAAGGTTTGACTCGCTCAGACGGCAGGATGATGGACGACGACCAGCCCAAGACACTGTGAGTAGAAAGAAGCCCGTTATCATCACAAAAGCGAGCCATGCTATGCTATGCTATGCTAAGCTAAGCTAAGCCGTAGCGGCGAATGGGCCCCGTTAGCTTAGCATCATGCGGCACACAAAGCGGCGAAAACTCGCTATAAAACGCCGAAACTCTGCCTGGCAAGCAGAGATAGCGGCATAAAACGAAGGAAGGCGGTGTTTAACGTTAAAGCAGGAGGTGTTTGGTGCACTAAAAGCGGCCGAAATCAACATAAATGTGATTTTTAAGCGGGCTAAAGCGCCCAAACTCGGCCAGCCGGCCGGAAAAATGCGGTGTAGCCGTTGTACGGTCAGGGGTGTCTTAAACAAAAGGGACCCGGACTGGAAATATCTGGACAATAAAAGCCGTAACCCAGCTCAACTAACCCCAATAAACCAGGTCATGAAGCGAGGCTTTGCTACCAGCTTCTTGTTCCGAATTTCCTCGTTCCACCTTAAGTGGTGCAGCTGTTACATTCTGGCGCCTGTTCCATTTAAGGTGGAACGGAAATTTCGAACAAAAAAGCTGACGAAAAGGGACATCAGCTGCACTCAGGTTGACTTTTTGCTCATAACAACGTATATTTACTCGAGCTAGGCTCATCTGGGCTGACCTAAAGCCGGGTTTGGCCTGGATGGGTGCGTTTTTGTTAGTTTCGCTTTTGCCCCCCGAGCAGCGCCGGTTGCCGATTTGGCGCTCAAAAAAGCTTCATTTTCGTGAGATGTTTTCCATAATCGAGTTAAAGATGAACCCGAGGAGGTTCCACTCACTATCCCCGTTTTCCCGAGGTTTTCACCAGTCAGCAGAGCGGTAGATGGATTAACTTAGCTGGCTAGCTGAGGTGAAAACGTGGCAGAAGTGCTGCCTTTCTCTCACGGAGCTTTAAGCATGGCCCGTGTAGGGCTCATACAAATAAAGGGGAATTCCACCGATTTTTTCAAAATTTTTCCGTTGTTAACGTGTTAGTAGGTCATCATGCCACCAGAGTCGTTCGGGGTGGTTTGGTTTGAAATGGTTTACTATAAAGTCTCAAATTTCACACAACACAAATATATCCATTCCATTTACTGTCCAAAACCCCCAGTGAACCTACAAGTGACCTCAGGTGAATTTTACATGCAGTGTTGATGATGGTGGTGAAATCTGAAGACATACGTTTTCTTTTGGGACTATTTTGACTCTCAACGCCCTGCATCTGCCCCTCCCGCCATGAATGGGTTCAAATAAAGGGGTTAATAAGACAATTTAGGCCAAAACTTTATCACAGAACTGTCACAAAACAGTGTCTCAGACATCAGGCAGTGAATTCATAACCATTTCGTGTAATAACGTGATATGAGGGAGGTTTTAGAGGTGAACGTCTGGTTCCTGTCACCACCGCTGTGAACACTTCTGACTCGGTGAGTGTCTCTAGAAAAAGGCGTTTCACACCAAACCACTCTGAGCGATTTTGATTACATATCAAATAATTAATTATCTGGAGTTTTGGAAAATTAAGAGTTCCCCTTCAAGTATCATGATATCAGGTGATATTTAAGACATTTTAATTCATTATCATTACCATAAGGTGACATTAATGATATGGTTCATTTGATTTAACTCCATTTTTTGTGTTTTTTGTCTCTTAAAATAAATAGGAGTGCTTGATAATATAATCAATCAGCAGATTATTGCTTTAAAAAATAAATTAGATTAAAATTTAGATCAGTGGATATTTCAAACTGATACTTGACAGTGTATTCGTTGTTCAGTGGAAGAGTTGAACGTTCAGGTGATGCTAGATAAAATATTTGCCTTTTATTCATTTTACAGCGCTAATGTTAATCCAAGTCAACATCTGCATAGGCGGTTATGTACGCACAAAAAATACCAGGCGCTGGCCCAAAACTACCATATCAGCACATCTCTAAAAATGACATGGATGGGAATCTTGTAAATACTAACCAGACAGGAAGGAAAAACTGCTATTTATTATATATTTATAATTTAATTTTAAACTGTTCACTGTAAACAATCTGAGGGATCCACATTCCTGCTAACTGTCAGATTTTGGATACCATGAGAAAAGAGCATGAAATAGAATTAAAATAGTTATAATAGGAATAAACTACTGGGCAAGAGTTTAACTGCAGAAAACCTGTTTTAAATAGAACAAAATCGATCAAAACCAGCTTTACCAAGTTTAGAAATGCTCTCTTAAAAGTTGCAGCATTCAGAAAGGATAGGCTCGTTAAGTTTATTGATGCTGCACTTAAATATCATCTTATACTTCAATATGTTCATCCAATATCATGATATCCAGTTTTATCAGGCTTGCTTAGTCCCAATATCTCTGACTGATCTGCTTCTTTTCCTCAGGTATGTGGGGAACCTCTCAAGGGACGTGACGGAGGCCCTCATCTTACAGGTGTTCACCCAGATCGGCCCCTGCAAGAGCTGCAAAATGATCATTGATGTGAGTAGCAGTGAGCGGAACATGGCTTTAGCAGATGGCGGCAGGTTTCTGCTCGTGGGATGGAGACGTTTGACGCAGAGTGGGTTTCTTTCTTTTCTTTTCAGACTGCAGGAAATGATCCTTACTGCTTCGTGGAGTTCTATGAGCACATGCATGCTGCCGCTGCGCTGGCCGCCATGAACGGGAGGAAAATATTAGGAAAGGTAAGACGGCTTAAGATCAGCAGGAGTAGTTTGGGGGGGGACGATAGATCTGACGTTATCGGAATTTTTACACACACGTTCATTTGAGAAACTATGCCACTCATTTTGCTGGTTTTCTGAACAGGTAAGTGACGTGCATTCAACTTTTGAATCGTTGTTCTTGCAGCATTTCTTCTAATAGCCACAACCAAATCAATAGCATTATACCAGACTCTTGAAAGTAAAGGTGTCAGATAAAGAGTTTGAGAACCGCCAATGAGATGTGAGTGTGAAGAAACTCAGTGTAATGTTAAACCCTTTTCCTAGAAATCATGAGTTTAAGCCAAAAACCGTTTAGAAATCTCTGTATTTTTAGACACTCATCCTTACTGGGCACAAACAGCAGATAAAGGTCATGCTAACCATTTGTTCAGTCCTAAACAACCCAGCAGCACCGACCTTCTGATAAAAGGTCCTGCGTTTTACTCTTGTCTTTGATTTTTGCGCTTATTATGGAAATGTTTCATCTAATCCGCAAATGGAGCAACTAGTATAAGTCAGAAAGAGAGATCTAGAGGCCTTAGAGCCTGTGTTAGTTTTTGTTATGACAATAAAAGCAAAAGAGGGTGCATTAACAATTGAAAGTGAGTTATAATCTACTTAGAAATCTTATTTTATGAGGAGAAATTGTCTCATCACATTTACACAGGTGCGAAGGTGAGTGAAAAGCCTAGGAGCGTAGCCCCCTTGTAGTACTTACATATGCAAAATATTATATATATATATATATATATATATATATATAATTTGCACATTTGTCTCAAAATATACACATTAATATACACCTGTATTGCATAATAACAAATAAAAGGCTGTGATATGTATGATATTACATATGCAGTCTGTAGTTATTGATAATGAACCATGAAAATTACTGAAAATCGAGGCCGATGCCAATTCTGATGGCAATTGCTGTCAAATCACAAATAACCCATTATTAGTGATTTGACATCAATTGCCATCAGAAAAGGGTCTCCTTTTGAGTTTCTCAGTGGCGCAATCTTCTCCTTATTGTTGCGTGATCATAAGCTCGAATCCTGGCAATACTGTGACCAAAAAAGGGGCTAATTATTGGTAATTGTTATTGCCTGTACTGATAAAAGCGTGGCTTGTTATTGGCCAATATTATCTGCCAACACTTATCAGTCTGGCTCTGTTTGCAGTGTGTAGATATATTTGCATATAAGTTTCCAGAATAATTTTTATTTTTAATTTTACCACTGCACCTATCCAAACATGCACCCTCTAAGGCTGGTTGTGCACGGTAAAACTTTCATGCAACACTATTTCAAACTAAATTGCGCCAGAGTCGCGTAATGTACCGTGTCTTGCAACGCATTTGAAACTCAGCTGCAACAGTTGCACAGCATGCTTGAAACCATTGATTTTAGTGGAATGGTGGACAAGAAAGTAAACAGATGATGTTTTATTTGGGGGTTCTGCTAACTTTTGGAGCAGTCAAATGTGTTGCATGCAACTTTCGTTTCAATTTGCTGTGTGTAACTGACATGCAAGTAGTTGCATGAAAGTTGCACAGTGTAAAGCCAGCCTGAGCTCCTCAGAACGAGCAGACGAGAATTGTAAGTTTACTTCGCCACACAAATATGCAGAAGTCTGGTAGGTGGCTGCATTGCGTAGTAATGGACCCGCCGTCCTTACCTAAGAGGATTAGACTCGAGTACAGCTCACAGGTCCAACCTGAATTCATTGCTCAATTGTTCTTTCCACCGATTAGTTTAGTCACCGTCGAGTCACATCTACTGATGTTAGAGTTATTATGAAGGTTTCTCCCTGTAGGGAAGAAAACAAGCCACCCTCGTTTAGTTCTAGATCCATATTTTGGGAGGAACCCTTATAATGTGAACGTTGGCCTCATTCTTTTTACCGCTGTGCTTAGTCCTCTGCACATCTTATCATCACACCATCTCTGCACCCACACCAGGCCTTCTTCTTCAGAGACGCCTTGGCAGAAATATATTCAGTGCAAATATTTTATCCTCAACAGGTAATGAAGGACCGTTTGAGGAGTAATACAAGTTGATAGTGTCACTCTGTTGTAAGTCTCTAGACCTTTTTACTCCGTAGCAATATTTACAGATTATTTTTTTTTCTTCTTAATATTTTTGGTAGTTTTTTTGATGCCTTGAGTGATCGCCCGGAATTTTTTCCTTTTTTCTGATTTGGATTTTTTTTATTTTTTAGTTTTGTTTATTTTATGAATTTTATAATTATTTTGTTCGTCAGTCTGTTTCTACGTTTGGAGACTCACGTTATTGTCACGCTAAGTAAGTTGGAGGTTCTCTTTGTGTGTGTGAGTTCGAATGTTACTCCCTCAAATGTTTTTTATTTTGTTTTCCGTATCTTTTCTCATCCTCGCAGGACATGAAAGTCAACTGGGCCTCAATGCCAAGCAGCCAGAAGAAAGACACAAGCAGTAAGTGCTGATACTGAGATCCAGCAGTCCTTGATTTGTTGTTGTACAGGAGTGTGATTAGCGCGTCCCGTTGGCAGCCTGCCCTTCGCGTCAAGAATGCTTTTCCTTAAAGGGCTCATATCATGAAAAACCCAGTTTTTAAAATAAAGAAATTCGTGAATAAGAGTTTGATGTCGTACATAAACATAGGCAGAATTTTATAGGTCTGCATTTGTACTGTACACTCTATTTAGAGTTTATATGAGGAGACTAAGCTAGTTTATTCCAGGTCACGCAAAGCAGTGTATTTGCATATTCACCTATTCAGCCTAAGGCAGTTTAGCTCTGCCCATTCAGTATGAATTTAAAGGGGAAATCCACCCTTTTTTCCAGAATTTCAAAGTTATTCAGATTGGATTGATATGAAACGCTCCGTTCTAGAGAAACTTGCAGAGTCAGAATCGTTCTCAGTGGTAGCGATAGGAACCAGACGTCTCAGGAATTTATTGCTCCTGAAATGATCTGCTTGATACCTGAGAGTAATTTAAATGGCTAAATTTGAATTGTGGACGTTGTGAAGTCTGGTTCCTATCGCCACCATTATAAAGAAATCAAAGTCTAAGTTTCTCTACAATGAATCACTTCACATCAAACCACTCTGAATGACCTAGTTTGCATCTCGATCACTGAATAATGGAGAAATTTAGAAATATTGGAGGAATTGCTCTGTAAGATGAGTTGTTTCTGCCTGTACTGCTTTTTGATTGAGGTAGAATAAATGACAGCCAATGAGAACAGAGTTATTTTACCTATCAGTCTTGAAGGCAAAGTTGGAAAATGACCTTGTAAAAATGATTTATGCTGGTTTAGGTACCAGAAACACCCATGAATGTCCCATAATTAGTGATATGGGCCCTTTAATCAATGGCTAACTCTGTGCACCCTTTCTTTTTCCCACCTCAGATCACTTCCATGTCTTTGTTGGTGACCTGAGCCCAGAAATCTCCACAGATGATGTCAGAGCTGCCTTTGCTCCCTTTGGGAAAATATCGTGAGTGAACGTTTTAGTGCTGTTCTGTAGTTGATTGAGATGCCATTAAATTGCCCTTGTGCAACACAAGAGAAGAACAAAATGTCCTAAACTCTTAATGTCTGCTACTGATTTTTATTCTGAGTAATGGAGGAATGTTTCTGTTGGTCAGTTCATCATGAAATTTGAAGACACTGTAAAACATAAGACAGTTAAAGACAAATATGGAGTTGCAAGGTTTTCATGTATTCCTAAACATACATGAATACATAGAGCTGGGTTTCTTTCATATATATATATATATATATATATATATATATATAGATATATAGATATAAATCGAAGAAATGCCCCAAAATTACTTGGAAAAAGTTCTTGTTCTGTTGACTTACATTAAAAGTAAAGAAGGTATTTTCCTTCATTTATGTATATATTCTAAATAAATACAGGACAAGGGAAAAATGTCCTTTACTTTTGATACAAGTCAGTACTCTTTTCCGAGTAATTCTGAGCCATTTCTTTTGGTCCATTCATCGTGAAACAAAGTGTACAAAGTAGAAATCAGCAATATTAAGACAAGCTGTGCCACAACAGTGCACAAAGCAGCTTCATGGGATTTTTGCCCCTTGTGTCTAAAAACAAAGTACTTCCTCTGACATTTCATTTACCAACGTTCTGCGTACGTTTTGGCACAAAACAACCTCATGTTAACATAATCTGTTGATGGTATATGTTTACTGATACAGGATGGGCTCCTCAACTACACTGTGTTGGAAATTGGCCCAAAATATTTTTTAAGCAAAAAAGTTTTGTTTTTCTTAATGCTTTCTGTTAGAAGTGGGCTGAGAACACCTGGTTTAGAGTAGTGTAGTAGAATTTGTAAATTAAGTATACATAGTTTAATTTCTATAATTCAGCTTCATGTATATCTAGTTTGGTCTCCTCACTTTCCTGCTCAGCCGGGTCGCTGGTTTGAACATTCAGATCGCTGTTCAGGGGCCAAGTGGTTGATATACACTGTTCCAAATGTCTAAAATGCAGAGATCTTCCATCTGTTCCACTGTCTGTTACTGATTTGTGTTTTCTTCTAGTGATGCTCGTGTGGTGAAAGACCTGGCTACTGGAAAGTCCAAAGGATATGGCTTTATCTCCTTCATCAACAAATGGGTAAATAATTGTAGCCTCTGAGGCGAGGGTGGGTGGGGAGGGCCACATCACTGCAGACTAGGGACATGCATTCCGACTAATTTTGATGTTCAAGTGTCCGGAAGAGTTTAAGAACAGATAGCTGGTTAACCGCAGAGAAGGGCAAAAAAAGAATAGACAGATTTCAGCTGAAATTAAAGTACTTTTTTAGGTGACAGCGCTGGTGTTGCACAAAAACTTAGCAAAATAACTTACTGAGCTCTTCATGTCAGATGAGTAACATAATGGAGACGGCTTCGGATGAGCGAATGAGCTTCTTTTCCCTCTTCAGTGAACGGTGTGCCATGTTATACATTAGTTTGTCCAAGAAATATATTTTCTGTGGTTCTGGAACTCGCTAACATTAGCCTGGCCCAGGGGTCGGGCAACATGCGGCTGTTTTATTGCCCTGTTGTGGCTCCACAGCAGAATTAGATTTGTAGGTAAAAATAAAATAATCCTCCTTTACAGTAAAATAAAGCTCTGCTGATCGTTCAACACAGTTTAACAATTAAAGGGCTAAAACGCTGGAGTTAATGTAGAACTGCTGATTCACCCTTTAACCCTGAAGGTCGGCACAGACTGCTGGTCACCATAGCAACACAGATAAGTCTCATCTAGTTATTAGCTAACGTAGCGGTAAAGAGAGAGATTTAAGACGAACTTTGATAATTTGGAGACAAATGGACTTATTTGCGTTTATAATCACTCCAGCTGGTTTCCTGTTACGATTAATCTGCAATGAGAAACTGTCACACTGAAAAGTCGTAAAGCTGAAGTCCGCTTGTCATCCCGTTCCACCTTAAATGGTGCAGAAGGTACATCCGGAGGTTAGAGATGTGGAACGGGAAAATTTGAACAAGAAGCTGGAGAATGAGAAGCCTCGTAAAAAGTCAAATGTTGAGAGATTTTAAAAGAAAGTATTCTACTTCTGCGGAAAAGTTTCCTGCGGGAGATGTGAGAAAAGCAGCTATAGCTGAGCTGAAGCTTAAAGCAGAGCAAAGTAAATCTGCGTTTTGTTTATATTGAATTTTTTATTCTATACTAGTACATTAACACATACTGAGACATATTAACAGCCAAGATGGTAAACATTACTTTAATAAATGGACATAAAGTGCTGTGGCTCCCAAGGTGGTTTGACTTTTGTTAAAAGGATAAAATGGCTCTTCGTAACATCTGGGTTGCCGACCTCTGGCCTAGCCTAACATTTAGTGACGATAACTGCGCTGTCTCTGCCTTCAGTCTCGTCTTTAACGGTGCGTCCTTTGCCATGTGCCCACATTTAGGCTTTTGCGCTTCAGAGCAGGAAAGTATAAACATACTTACTCACAAAAACAAGCAAGATGTTTACGTTATACAGTTCTGTTAAAACAGAATTGGTGTTTCACTGAGCAGGTGGTCTGTATGTTTTGTCTTCACATGGTAAAAACAGTAGTAAAGTCAGTATTAGTAGTATCAGTAGTATGGCACTCCAAACTGTATTGTTTTCCTCATTTAATAAGTGATTCATCTGCTAATTAATATCAGAATTGAAAGTGAGTAGCAGGATATTGTTTTTCCAGTGATAAATTAGCTTCTCTGTTTGCCATATGACTGATTTGATTCAATTTATTTTGTGTTCCTCATCTGATAGGATGCAGAGAATGCCATTCAGCAGATGAACGGCCAGTGGCTGGGAGGAAGGCAGATCAGAACCAACTGGGCTACCAGGAAACCACCTGCACCCAAATCCAATGAGAGTGAGTGTTTCAGACGAATGTCATTTGTGATGCTTGTGTTTGAGAAGATGATGTCATATATTTAACGCTGACCATTTAAATGAAGTAGAAAAAAGAAACCTCATCCTTTTAGCTGTTAGAAGAAGAGCAAATCTTTATAGGTTTGGACAGAACCCTTTATTTGAACCTAACTGTTCTAAGTATTGACCCTGCTGTCCTCATTTCACCTTTGTAAGCAGGCAACACCAAGCACCTGTCCTATGAGGAGGTGCTGAACCAGTCCAGCCCCAGTAACTGCACCGTGTACTGTGGAGGAGTCACCTCTGGCCTGACAGGTTTGTTGTGTTCTTCAGCCTCGGTCTCTTGCGATGGTTATCTAGTTCCGCAGTGCAAGTTTGGTGATAAAACCCTCCTTTAGGGCTGAAAGATTAAACGCTTTTATGTTGAAATAGTGCAGTTTTCAAATCACAAGCATGACAAATTTAACTGTACACACTTAAAAATAATGGGTAATCAAGGTCTTTAGTACAGAAAATTGTTCTATATAGAGCCATGATCATTCAGAGAACACTTTGCATGATTAAAGGGTTCTTTGCATCACGAAAGGGTTCTTTGCATCACGAAAGGGTTCTTTGCATCACGAAAGGGTTCTTCGCATCACGAAAGGGTTCTTCGGGTTGATGAAAAATGTGCATGAATGTGCTATATATAGTACTATATAGAACCTTTTTTGAAATGAGTTCTATATAGCACCCAAACAGGTTCTTCGGTTGTTACTACACTCTTAAAGATAGTGCTTCAAGGGTTCTTTAGTAAAAAAAATTTTTTATGTAGAACCGTGAACACTCAGAACCCTTTGCATAATTAAAGGGTTCTTTGAGTTGATAAATGTGCATGAATGTGATATAGACGGTACTTTATAGAACCTTTTTGAAATGAGCTTTATATAGCACCCAAAAGGGTTCTTTTATGGTTACAAGCTTGACACCTTTGGGTGCAATGTGGACCGTTTTCAAAAAGGTTCTGTATAGAACAATCAACAGCACATTCTTCATCAATCTGAAGAACCATTTCAAGAAGCAAAGACCTCTAATCATGCAGTGGGCTTTTGGTTATTTTTATTTTATTAAAAAAATTTTTTTGGGGATTTTTCCCCAATTTTTTCCCCCAATTTAGTCATTTCCAGTTCCACCCGCTAGTTAGGACTCCCCCAATCACACGACACTCTCTACACACAACGCTAGGAGGGTGAAGGCTAACACAGGCTTCCTCCAAGACCTGTGAAGCCACCGCATCTTTTCGAACTGCCGCTCACGCAACGTCATTGGACAGCTGAACGCGCTCAGAGGAAAGCGCCAACCGCCAGATCTGTTACGTCAGCTAACAGACGCCTGCGCTGACTAGCATCGCGTTAAGTGGTGGGGGGAGAGGAGGGGGCCGTCCTACTCACCCAGAGAGAGCGAGGCCAGTTGTGCTCTCTTGGACTCCCGGCTACGGACGGCTGTAGCATCACCAGGGATCGAACTCGTGATCTCCTGATGATAGGGCCAACACTTAGACGGTTGGCTACCCAGGAGCGCTTCTGTTCAGTTTTTTCGACATTTCCGTTGTTTGAAGTAGACTGCCATCTCTGGGCTTAAGACGGGAAAAAGTGGCCATGCTGGTGGTCTTGGCCAAAATACAGTCCTGGATGTTAATTTACAGCAAAGTAGTTGCAATTTTAATTGCAGTCATATCCATCATTTTCCCTAATTTGTTTAGCACTGCCCTACTTAATTCAGATGTGTCAGTATGGCATACCAGCAGCCGCTGAAGTGGGAAATGAACATAAAATGAATCTATGGAAAATGAATGTTTATCAAAGCATCAAATATCAATTTACTAATCTTGTAACGAACAATTATACAATTATAATTGCCCTCCTGTGTATTCTCATCCCAAAGCCATTTACCTCTTTCTGTCTCGATAATCATCCAGGCTGTAAAAGGTGTCTGGCGGTGCATTGTGATGCCAAAATAAGACAATATGCTGCGTGGAATCAGCTGTATCTACAAGTTATGCAATCTAATGCAGCTCTGATGTTAAAACACTTCAGGCTGCAAGCAACTTAACCCACACCAGCCCTTTCAGCGTCATAGTCGACCCACACCAGCATGCTTAATGAGAGTTCCTACAGATCCTCAAAGTCTTAATATAGATTTATAAAATTTAGGGGTTTTAAAATGTCTGTTTTTGACTGTTAGAGCAATTCTGTTCTAAGATGATTCCTAAAGAGCATGTTCAAAAGAGTCACTGTGTAAACTGTTTGAGTAGCCCGACAGCCAAAAATATCCAACCGATTACGGTCCTCTGGCCAGAAGCTGACCACTTGTGAAGGGCTAGAGGACACAGAACTGATAACAAAGTCAAACACTTAACGACTGTGCAGTGACTCTGCACTCTCAGTGTATAAACATGTTTATTTGGTTCAAACATGGTTGAAAATTAGACACTTTATACTGGCCAAATTTGAGTTTGTGGGCATTATGAGATGGAAGTGGTGTTATTTTTCTGTTCTTTTTAAAAGGATGTTAATATTATTTTAAAAATTGCTGCCACCCTGACATTCCCAGTACACCAACCTCTAATAGGCTGTGCAACATGGTTAGTTATTTATCGTCATTGAAAATATTATAGGAGAGTTCTGAATCTATTATTAATCAAATCGTGATTAGTGTAGCTCGTGTTGCTCTGTAACTGTGATCACCTGTCACTTATATTTGGATGGGATATATTTTGTCTGGGAAACACCTAAAACTTCATTAGGTGGGCTTTAAATGATCGCATTGGGAATCCGGTTATTAATGTCTGTGAAATGCGTCCCCCCTCATGGGACCTTTCTGTCAACAGTTTGTCTGTGACCTCCAGTTTGGCTGAGGTTTACTCGCAGAAGGTTGGTGAACTTCGCACTTTGAGCAGGTGACGATGGGTCGTTTGCTGCATCTTAAAGCAAGCCAGCTATTCTTTTGGCTGCCATGTCCTGGTTTCACAGTCGTTTTCTAAACCAGAGTTGATTGTGTGTGTGTGTGTGGGGTTCTTTCACTGGCGTCTGATGGACAGATGAAGGCATAGAAGCGTGTGGGTGGTTCAGTGGGTGTTTATGCAGAGAGAAAAAAGAGGAAAGCTTTATTAACAGTAGATACGTTTCCATCGGCTTTTTGTGCAAATTGCAGGCAATAAAATGAAAATGTGTTAAACGTGTTACTTTAAGTGATGATAAATGCTTATGATGGGATTTCCTGCAGAAAACGCTGTTGTGACAAAAGTGTGGTGCAACTTGTACCTTTCACTTCCCTGACTTCCCATGAGTCAGTCTGTCTGTCTGTCTGTCTGTCCATCTATCTATTTATCTGTCTATACTGTGTGTGTGTGTCTGTCTATCTATCTATCTACTTGTTTGTTTGTCTGTCTCTATCTATCCTGTCTGTCTGTCCTGTCTATCTATCCTGTCCATCTATCTATCTATTTATCTGTCTATCCTGTCTGCCTATTCTGTCTGTCTTCATCTATCTATCTACTTGTCTCTATCTGTCTGTCTGTCTACTTGTTTGTTTGTTTGTTTGTTTGTTTGTTTGTTTGTCTGTCTCTATCTAGTCTGTCTGTCTGTCTGTCTGTCTGTCTGTCTATCTATCTATCTATCTATCTATCTATCTATCTATCTATCTATCTACTTGTCTATCTATCTGTCTGTCTGTCTACTTGTTTGTTTGTCTGTCTCTATCTATCTGGTTTGTTTGTCTGTCTCTATCTATCTGGTCCGTTTGTCTGTCTCTGTCTATCCTGTCCATCTGTCTATTTATCTGTCTGTCTGTCCGGTCTGTTTGTCTATTCTGTCTATTTATCTATCTATCTACCTGTCTATCTGTCTGTCTATCCTGTGTGTCTGTCTATCTATTCTGTCTGTTTGTCTGTCTCTATCTATCCTGTCCATCTATCTGTTTATCTGTCAATCCTGTCTTTGTCTATTCTGTCTGTCTGTCTGTCTGTCTGTCTGTTTGTCTATCTACTTGTCTGTCTATCTTTCTGTCTATCTATTTATCTATCAGTCTGTCTGTCTGTCTATTTATCTATCTACCCTGTCTGTCTGTCTGTCTGTCTGTCTGTCTGTCTGTCCATAGAGATCATGTTTGTCATATAGAGCTGTTTGAGCGCTTAAAGTGAATTAGGCTCTAAATCTAACGTCTGTTTGTTTCTTTGCTCCAGATCAGCTGATGAGACAGACTTTCTCTCCATTCGGCCAGATCTTGGAGATCAGGGTTTTCCCCGATAAAGGCTACTCATTCGTGAGGTGAGGGTTTTTTTGCTTTGTTTTGGGGTTTTTTTCTACTGTGCACTGCCAGATAATTTTGCATATTTCAACAAATGATGCCAGAAGGAAGTTAAATTGTCTAGTAGCGTCAAATCTAATATACAGTTGCTCTTTATATTATCTTGTGTATTGGTGCCGCTGTAGTGGTAAATTAAGTCTGGTGTTCACTGCTTCCGCAGAGATGAGAATAAAGGTATACATAAACTAAAAAAACTCAGGATTCGAAATCCAAAAACTGCTTTCACCTGATATCATACGCTGTTTACACGACCACTTAAAGAAAATGGTAACGGCCAAAATCAGATAATAATGCACTCGCTTTCACATACGTTGAATACATACATTAAAATGCCATTATTCTCCAGAATAGAAGCCTTAATTCACTCAGCTTTACGAGGCCAAATGTAGCAGGGGGTTTAGACAGTTCTTGCTGTACATAAACCTTCATATCACGTGAAGTCAAATGTTTATTTATAGAGCGCTTTTTACAACGGGCCTTGTCACAAAGCAGCTTTATAGCATCAAAACGTGCGGAAATGTGTCCTGCAAAATCACAGTCTGTCTTTTTTCCATTTGCAGGTTTGACTCCCACGAGGGTGCGGCTCACGCCATTGTATCGGTGAATGGGACGTGCATTGAGGGCCACACTGTGAAGTGCTACTGGGGAAAGGAAACCGCGGACATGAGGGCCATGCAGCAGATGCCCATGCCCCAGGTACCAGCCTCTTCTCAACGTCAAAGCTTCACAACTAGCCATAAGATATAAATGTCTCCATTCATACTTGGTTATACCGCTAGTTCACCATCTGTCCTGTAGAACCTGGGCTCTGCTTTTACATCTCACCCAGCTCCTGAAAGACCTTAATTTTTCAGAAAAGCCATTTGAGTGTGGGTGTCCATAGCCCCCCCCCCACCATTGTACTCTGATTGGATGAACCCAGATGTGTAGTTTTGATCACTGACAGTGGTTTTCATGGAAGAGGAGTGTTTCCTCTAGATTTTTCTTCAGGCCTGATTTGTAGACCCTTCAGCACTACCAGCGTTGTCTTGCATATGTGGTGTCAAATGCACGGGGTTGTAGGAATGTCATCGCAGTATCACCACACATAGTGAAATATTACTACTTTTTTCTTTTTACAAATACAGTGAACACACTATCATGTGTAAACACCATGTTTTGCATTTATTTTGAAGAAAACCTTCTTTGATTGGTCTAGTAGTTCATGCAGTAGTCAGTTAATTTATATCTGAAGAATTCATATGTGACTGAAATTCATACTGGGCCAAAAACTAATGTGCATATAAGTCTAGAAAAATGTTTACGATGCTAATACTGTTTGAACTGTCAAGTCTACAAGATTCGCAGCGGATCTGCATTAAAGAATACTGTAAGTTGATTGCTTGTGTCTCCAAACACCCAGAAAGTGGACGTCTTGTCGGCTTTCTTGTCAGTGGAAAGGCAGAGATGAAACACCATGCTGGTTTCACGTATTGTATTGACTCTGGGATACATCACCATATTTCAGAGAAACCACCCGAACTGATATTTCAGTTTGCTGAAAAACTTTGTTCTGACCAAGAAAGAAAACTGTCTCTAGATTTTAGAAGGCTGGCACAGGGCAGTCCTCCTCTGCTACACCCTGCTATATCACAGTACTGTAGTAATGATTGGATTTGAGCCAGATTTAGAATTTTATTTTTGCCAAAAAGAGCAGATGCCACAGTTTGGTTGTGTGGGCAGCCTGGGGCCTGTATAATGATGGGGGAAGCACTGGAGAAACACTCTGAGAGAGCAAGGGGTGTATCAGTGATACATTTTTACAGTTTCCATGTTAAATTGTTTGTCAGAACTGCATTGAAATCGTTATACCTTACATTTAAAAAGGGTCCTAAACTGTTACTGGGGTGGTACTGTTCATCACTGGGGTGGTACGCTTAAGCGTGTGTGTTCAGTACCTTTAGTCAGGGAACATAATTACATAATATGTAATTGCAGTTATTTTTTTCAGTTAATTATAAAAATGTATTTTTTATTTATTTTGTTTCCACGCACCCTGTCTTGTCTCCAGACTCTTTATTTTATAGTTCGGTTTTAAAACATTCAGTAATGAAATGGTACAAATATGTACCTTTCTCCTGGGATGAGGGTGGGGGGGACTTAATCATGGTACACAGTAGGAGCTTAGGACGACCTTGTTTGTACTTGGATGAACAAAGCATATACACAGATCAGGAATAACATTATGACCACCTCCTTGGTGGTCAGGACCCCCATGGACCCCCACAGAGCAGGTACTATTTGGGTGGTGGATCATTCTCAGCACTGCAGTAACACTGACGTGGTGGTGGTGTGTTAGTGTGTGTTGTGCTGGTCTGAGTGGATCAGACACAGCAGTGCTGCTGGAGTTTTTAAACACCTCAGTGTCACTGCTGGACTGAGAATAGTCCACCAACCAAAAATATCCAGCCAACAGCGTCCTGTGGGCAGCGCCCTGTGACCACTGATGAAGGACTAGAGGATGACCAACACAAACTGTGCAGCAGCAGATGAGCTATCGTCTCTGACTTTACATCTACAAGGTGGACTGACAAGGTAGGAGTGTCTAATAGAGTGGACAGTCAGTGGACACAGTGTTTAAAAACTCCAGCAGCACTGCTGTGTCTGATCCGCTCGTACCAGCACAACACACACTAACACACCACCACCACGTCAGTGTTACTGCAGTGCTGAGAATGACCCACCACCCAAATAGTGCCTGCTCTGTGAGGGTCCACGGGAGTCCTGACCACTGAAGAACAGGGTAAAAGGGGGCTAACAAAGTATGCAGAGAAACAGATGGACTACAGTCTGTAACTGTAGAACTACAAAGTGCACCTATATAGTAAGTGGAGCTGATAAAATGGACAATGAGCGTAGAAACAAGGATCGGTGTATCTATGCAGTACTGGGCAGTCCTTAATCAAGTCCTGTTCTCATGGTCTCTCTTCTTCTTTTTCAACAGCAGAGTAACCCAGGCTACGCTGCCCAGCCATACGGCCATTGGGGCCAGTCTTATGGCAATGGGCAGCAGATGGGCCAGTATGTGCCCAATGGCTGGCAAATGCCCACCTATGGAGTCTATGGCCAGGCCTGGAACCAGCAGGGCTACAAGTAAGTACGACATGGGCACCCTCCACCACCTCCTTCGGCTCAAGCGCTACTCCTGCTCCAGTGCGGCAAATTTCCAGCAGGATGTACCAATACGCCAGCGAGGAGGTGTGAAAGGACTCCATTTAACCAGTGTACAATATATTTGGATCATTAACCTGCCCTCGCTGCCCCTTTTTCTCTATTTTTTTTTTGTTTCTTTCTTTCTTTTTGTTCCCTCCCCAAATAGTTCTTTGGACAGTAATTTTTTTTTTCATTGGTCATTTCCCCCCACGGTGGACTTAATATTGGAAACGCTTCCCCGTCATTCGCCCCCAATCAGGAGGACTGTCTTCATGTAAAAAGCCCCTCAGGTTTTTTTTTTTTTGTTGTTGTTTTTTGTTTTTTCCTTTTTTCTGGACCCCTTATGTTTGTAAGGACTTGAATACTATTCGATGGACATTCATTTCTTTTATTCGCACCAGTAAGGTTTTCCGGCACCCTCTCGGCTCGGTAGTCAGGAGCATTTTTATCTCCAAACTGAAAGTTATGAGAATTCTTCTCCTGATGTGGAGGAGGCTTCCTCAGTGGCCTTGACATGTACTTGAAGTCTTGAAGTTACCAGAACTTCTAGCGAAGTAACAGATTGTTCTTAATTTCTTCTCCAGCTTTTAATAAAATTCATGATAACATGTTACACAACACATTTTTTTTCCTCCTCCTTCCCTTGGTTCTCCAATACGATTAACTTTTTTATGACGTGAGATATACGAGGCTTATTTTAAGCTCTGATGTTTAAACTTCATCCTTTTTTTATTGTTGTTGTTAAGGATCATGTTTTCTGAGATTAAATTAGGCTATGACAACACGGAGTGTTCTAAGTTCTATGTAAAGATATTTTTGTAATTCTGTGTAAAATGGGGTTGTGAATTACTTTGTCGGAGCTTGTAAATTGGGATTTGTTTACCATCTTGTAAATTGCATGGGCAATCTTAGGCTATGTTGACTCGTTTTCGCTCTCTTCTTGACATGTTGGAAGACCTACGGAGTTCGGTAGATTCATTTGGATATGCAATTTTAATTTTCCCTTTCTTTTCCTGTGTAGCCCGTGTTTCGTTCATTTTTACCCTCACGTGAACAGGCTTGTCACTGTGTTTTGATTTTTATAAGCCAAAGACAACGGTAGGCATGGCAGTGATTATCTCGAGTGGGTTTTGAGCGCGCTCGGAAAAGACGACGAAAGATGCTCCCTACACAGCTTAATTCAGTTCAGAAAGACATAGTGCCACATAGCCATATGGTTCAGCTGTTTATGGTCATATCAAACCTGAGTTGTGTCCAGTGTGTTTGTGTGTTATTTCTCTCTTTTTCTTTTCCTTCATTCTCTTCTGGGCGTCTGGTCACCATCCCACTGTGCTCCATCCCTGCTGTTAGTCATCACTCTGCCCTCAAAGCATAGAGCTTTCATCCCTGAGCAACAAATCTCTGCTTTTGTGTTCTTTCCTTTTTTTTTTTCTTTAATTTTTTTTGAAATACGATTTTTTTTGACTCTCCACTCGAGTAGTTTTGGACTAATGAATCAGACAGTCTGCTTTCTATAACGTTTTGAATTTGTATTTTGTAAAAAGCTGAAGAAATGTACTGTCGTTCATCTTGATTCCTGAGTTTGAATTATTATTTTTTTGTCCTCTCATTCCATTTTTCTCCTAGACCTCATTGGAGGGTCCTGTTTGATTTTTTTTTTTGTTTGTTTTTTCCCTCTTGAGTTGGGTTTTTTTTTGTTTTGTTTTGTTTTTTTTTCTGATTCCATGTGTAAATAACTTGATAACCATTAATGATAACATTAAAATACTGTTCCAGTATTCCAAGACTCTGATAAGTAAGAAATGTCTGTTTTGTCTTTTTTTTGTATCTCCAAAATTGATTTGTTAACCAGTTTGTCACAAATTCCGCTTAGTTAAGTTATATTAGTTATATATTATATTAGTTAAGGGGGAGCGATATGGCAAAAATGTTACGATATATTTAATGACATATGGTCAGTACATATCAAACCGCAAAAGCAAAATATTTTGATAAGCTGGAACAAATGCAGTGCGAGAATTGAGTGCGATAATTTTGTTTCACATACTGTACTGCACTTAATACAGTTAACCAGGACTAATTATGTTCTTTTTATAATGATAAATCAACAATATGTTCCGAAAAGGTATATTGTGATGCCATTTCTCACAGTAATGGTGACACAGTGTCATGTTGCCCACCCAAAGGACTGTCCAAAGTGAGTGAGCTACACTTACTGCTAACAGCTGTATAAAATTAAGCGCGTACCCATGCAGTAAATTGGGTACTGAAGAGCTCAGTGAGTTTAAACATGGCACTGTCACAGGACCGGATCTTTAAGTCAACTCATGAAATTTCTTTCCTGCTTGATCTACCGACTGTAAGTGCTGTTATTATGAAATGGAAGCTTCTAGGAATAACAACTCGGCCACAAAGTGGTAAACCACACAAACTCGCCAGCATCACTCACTGCGGAGTTCCAGATTGCCTCTGGAAGCAACGTCAACTCAAGAACTGCAGCAGGAGCTTCATGAAATTGGTTTCCACAGTCAAGCAGCTTTACACAAGCCTGAGATCACTGTGCGATGCAAAGGCCCAGTCCCATTCCCTCTTTTTACCCATACCCCTTGTTTTCGAGTGTCACTCTAACCCCTTGGAACTGAGTTACAGGGTAGTGGTTGAAATCTTCCCTCTGAAATGGGACCCTCAAATAAAAAGAGCATCACTTCATTAACAGCTACCAGCGCTGCTCTGTAGGCGACCCTGCCAGTCTGCAGTGACAGCAGAGGAGGGTAAAGTTCAGCTCCTCACTGCTGGGCTTTAGTTACATTTAGGGCATCATATGCCTTCAAAGAGGGGGGCAATTATTTATTATCACCCACCCCTAATTCTTCAGTGATGTGAAGCTGAAGTCAGATATTCACCAGCTTCTTGTTCGAATTTTCCCTGTTCCCTGTTTAAGGTGGAACGGGAAGTTAGCTAGATAGCTACTGAGACATTTTTATGCTTGTTATGAAGAAAATCATCATAAAACATTGAAACAACATTAAACTAACGGTTATCGTATTTATTTTAACAGAGAAAATTCTCACATTTGTGGGTTTCTTTGGTTTCTTGTTCAGCCGTCTTGCAGGTTTCCTTTTTTTCCTCATATCTCTCTGTTTGGAGTCTCTGAAAAACCTCCGTGTGGAGGGTCATGTAGCCCCAACACTTCGCCCTCCCCCTCTATCTCAACAAGAAGTGGGACACCCTACCCCTAGACGTGAATGCGCGAAACAGAGGGCTAAGGGCTCAGTGGTAGGGGCGAGGGGTGAAATGGGATTGGGCCCCAAATGTCGGCTAGACGGGTGTAAAGCACGTCACCACTGGACTCTGGAGCAGTGGACAGGTTCTCTGGAGTGATGAATCACACTTCTCTATCTGGCAGTCTGATGAATCTGGGTTTGGTGGATGCCAGCAGAACGTTAGGAGGAGGGATGATGGGCTGGGGCAGTTCTTTGGGGTTTGGGTTCCTTGGTTCCAGTGAAGGTTGATGTTGCAGCTACAGCCATACAAAGACATTGTAGAAAATTATATGCTTCCAACTTTGTGTCAGCAGTTTGGGGAAGAGCCTTTCCTGTTCCAGCATGACTGAGCCCCTGTACACAAATCAGCTCCATAAAGACATGGAGTGACGAGTTTGGTGTGGCGGAACTCCAGTGGCCTGCAGAGTCCTGCCCTTCTGTAGTAATAGTGAAAACAATGAACAAGAACGAAAACTCTTACAGATGCTACATGTTTGCCATGGTCTGCTGGTTACGTACACTAAGGGAAGGTGTCCTGGATGTGAACTAAGCCTAGTCTTGGACTTCAGCCTAGGTTTAGGATTAATCTGCTTATGGACGTCTGGCCCAAATGTCCAAAAGTTTATAGACACCTGCGTATCCAACTTTCTTCTGAAATGAAGGGTGTTAATAATGAGTTTGCTGCAGTAACAGCCTCTACTCTTCTGGGAAGGCTTTACATTAGATGTTGGAACATTGCTGTGAGGATTTGATTGAGCATTAGTGAGGTCAGGTACTGATGTTGGATGATCACTGGATCTCCAACTCATCCCAAAGGTATTGGATGGAGCTCCATCACTCCAGAGAACTCAGTTCTACTGCTCCACAGCCCAATCCTGGGGGGCTTTATACCCCTCTAGTCCCCAATTGGCATTGGACAGGGTGACCTTAAGCGTCCCAAAGTATTGCCAAACAGCTTTCAGTGTTTTGCAGCATTGTTTGACTTTCCTTAAGAATCCTCATCAGGTTGCATCCATGGCAACAGGCCTGGTCACAACAAACATGATGTCACAAAGCTGTTATCACTCTATTTTGACTGCATGTAACCTTGCGTAACGTTCTAACACCAAACAGCTTCTTTGCTGGAACTCTGAACCAACACGTGATGGTGTGGTTTAACTTTCTTCCACGCTTATATAAAGTAAACAAACCGTGAAAGCAAAGCTATTTGCCATATAAACCGGGGCACTCGGAGCTGCGAAGGCACCGCCATGTTGGCATTCATACCAGCCAGCAGTGTCCACCCCCACCTGTATGAGGAGTACTGCACATACCGAGGCCATCGCCTGTGGGGGGCGTATTTCTGCTCCTCTCTCTCAGTCTTCGTAGGAGGACTCGTTATCTTGCTCATCTGGAAGTTCGGGAGCCGAGCCCTCCGGGGATTACGTGTCATGCCCAAACACAACCGCACGCACCCACAGGTGAGTCAAGGCACGTTTAGGCCACAAACACCTCAGAATAAACTTGCTTCAGGCCTTTCTTTTCCTCTCTCCAGTGTTTTTATTTATTTTTGCACAATAGCCAAACATTTCACAACAGACGTACACGTGGTTAACACAGGTCCACAGGTGTGTGAATGCACAGTAGGCTAATTTTATATCCTCCCACTTTTTTCTTTCTCTAGAATTCATAAACATAATAATCCATTAGTAACAGTATTTTTTTTTAATACCCAAACATTCAACAGACAGAAATAGAAAAGTTAACACAGGTGGTTCCAGGTGAGTTAGAGCTATTTTACAATTAACACAGGTGTGGCTACAGGTGAGTTAGGAAGCTAATTTACAATTAACACAGATGTAGCTACAGGTGAGTTAGAGCTAATTTACAATTAACACAGGTGTGGCTACAGGTGAGTTAGAGCTAATTTACAATTAACACAGGTGTGGCTACAGGTGAGTTAGAGCTAATTTACAGTTAATACAGGTGTGGCTACAGGTGAGTTAGAGCTATTTTACAATTAACACAGGTGTGGCTACAGGTGAGTTAGGAAGCTAATTTACAATTAACACAGATGTAGCTACAGGTGAGTTAGAGCTAATTTACAATTAACACAGGTGTGGCTACAGGTGAGTTAGAGCTAATTTACAATTAATACAGGTGTGGCTACAGGTGAGTTAGAGCTATTTTACAATTAACACAGGTGTGGCTACAGGTGAGTTAGGAAGCTAATTTACAATTAACACAGATGTAGCTACAGGTGAGTTAGAGCTAATTTACAATTAACACAGGTGTGGCTACAGGTGAGTTAGAGCTAATTTACAATTAACACAGGTGTGGCTACAGGTGAGTTAGAGCTAATTTACAGTTAACACAGGTGTGGCTACAGGTGAGTTATAGCTAATTTATAATTAACACAGGTGTGGCTACAGGTGAGTTAGAGCTAATTTACAATTAACACAGGTGTAGCTACAGGTGAGTTAGAGCTAATTTATAATTAACACAGGTGTGGCTACAGGTGAGTTAGAGCTAATTTATAATTAACGCAGGTGTGGCTACAGGTAAGTTAGGAAGCTAATTTACAATTAACACAGGTGTAGCTACAGGTGAGTTAGAGCTAATTTATAATTAACACAGGTGTGGCTACAGGTGAGTTAGAGCTAATTTATAATTAACACAGGTGTGGCTACAGGTGAGTTAGAGCTAATTTATAATTAACACAGGTGTGGCTCCAGGTAAGTTAGGAAGCTAATTTATAATTAACACAGGTGTAGCTACAGGTGAGTTAGAGCTAATGTATAATTAACACAGGTGTAGCTACAGGTGAGTTAGAGCTAATGTATAATTAACACAGGTGTAGCTACAGGTGAGTTAGAGCTAATTTATAATTAACACAGGTGTGGCTACAGGTGAGTTAGAGCTATTTTACAATTAACACAGGTGTGGCTCCAGGTAAGTTAGGAAGCTATTTTACAATTAATGCAGGTGTGGCTACAGGTGAGTTAGAGCTAATTTACAGTTAAGGCAGATGTGGCTACAGGTGAGTTAGAGCTAATTTACAATTAATGCAGGTGTGGCTACAGGTGAGTTAGAGCTAATTTACAGTTAAGGCAGATGTGGCTACAGGTGAGTTATAGCTAATTTACAATTAATGCAGGTGTGGCTACAGGTGGGTTAGAGCTAATTTACAGTTAAGGCAGATGTGGCTACAGGTGAGTTAGAGCTAATTTACAATTAATGCAGGTGTGTCTACAGGTGAGTTAGAGCTAATTTACAGTTAAGGCAGATGTGGCTACAGGTGAGTTAGAGCTAATCTACATTTTTTGCAGGTGTGGCTACAGGTGAGTTAGAGCTAATTTACAATTAATGCAGGTGTGGCTACAGGTGAGTTAGACAGCTAATTTAGAATTAATGCAGATGTGTCCGCAGGTGTCTGAAGGGACATTTAGGCCACACCCACTTCTGATTAAACCTGCTTTAGTCCTTTTTTTTGTCTCTTCAATATTGTTGTTCATTTTTGCACAATAGCCAAACATATATTTGACAACAGACATACAAGTGGTTAAGCCAGGTGAGTCAAGGCACATCTAGGCCACACAGTGTCTGTACTTACTTTAGGCTGTGCTGTTTTTTCTGTTCTTCTTACTGTTTTTTCTTTCCAATATTTGATTGTTCGGTTTTGCACTATATCCAAACATTTAGCAACAGACAGACAAGCAATTACAGATCAAATAAATGAAATAACACCTCTCTGTGCTTTACATGAATACTTAAAATAATAATAATAATCATTTAGGCACTTCTTACGGGTTAGTACAGGCAAAAAACAGTTAAAGATTATAATGAACTGGATGATTTTAACTTTATGCTGGTAACATCTTATTTACGCCATAAGGAGTCTTAGGAAACTCAGTACACTCCTTGGGCGATGCAATTCCCTAAAGGGCCTCTTTAAGGGGCCATTTCATGGAAAACCGACTTTTCCTCACTTTTTTGGGACAGAAGAGTTTGATGTAGTATGTAAACGTTGTTAAAGCTTCAAAGTGTGCCATTCACTCCTCAGTCCATACGGTCCATACATGGAAACTAAACTGCAGGAGCCCATTTTGATTTCACTGTTTTCTGTGATGTCACAAAAAACCAAATCACTTACATATTTCCACATACTCAGCCTGTTTAGCCCCGCCCACTCACGCTGAAGTTATAAGGAGTGTTTCAGCTCTTCTTTTTGAGTGAGGCGAAATGCAGGACAGATGAGAATCCAGTTTTCCATGAAATGGGCCCTTTAAATCAGCCGCAGTGGTGGATTTGTTGTTGTGTAACTCTGGAAATCTGTGTGTTCTTAGGGTGTTAATCCAGATGCTGTTCTCAGTCTGAGGAACTCATTGAGAACGTGGGCGTTCTCCATCATCTCTGCTCAGCGCCGACCTGGAAAGATTCTGGTGCGTGTACTTAACCAAACGCACTTTACATACAAACCGAACGACCCTCTCTTAAAAAAGATGGTTCCTCAAGGGTTCTGTAGTAAAGGCTATGGTTCTAGATGGAACCGTGAACACTCAAAGAACCATTTGCACGTTTAAAAGGTTCTTTGCATGGTGAAATGGCTCTTCAGATTGATGGAGAATATGTTTTATGTGGTTCTATATAGACCCTTTTTTTGAAAATGGTTCTATGTAGCACCAAAAAAGGGTTCTTCTATTGTTACAAGCCTGACATTATAATTAAAGCAGAATCCTTTTTAGTGCTATACTGGTACTTCAAGTGTTCTTTAATAAAAAATGGTTCTATATAGCACAAAAAGGATTTGTCTGTTCTTACCATGTCAGGCTTGTAATAATAGAAGAACCCTTTTCAAAGAGGTTTTGTACAGAACCATGCATAGCACATTCTCCATCAGTCTGAGGAACCCCTTCACGATGCAAAGAACCCTTTAACCATGCAAAGGATTCTTTGAATGTTCATGGATCTATATAGAAGCATTCCTTTTTAAGTGTGTAGAACCATTTTCAAACAGGTTCTATCTAGAACCATATACAACACATTCTCCATCAATCTTAAGAACGATTTCACCATGCAAAGAGCAGGAGCATGAAATGGGTCTATACAATACTCATGGTTGTAAATGGAACCATCCCCTTAACTAAGGAACCCTCGAAGAACCGTCTTTTTAAGAGTGTCGAGCTCTTTTAAGGTTCCCCATTAATGTTTAAGGGAAATTCCACCAATTTTTTACATTTTCGGCATAATTGAGTGTGTGAGATATAAACAGAGTGATTCAGAGTGGTTTGGTGTGAAATGGTTCAGATGTCTTTACAGTGGTGGTGATAGGAACCAGGGGTCGCCATGACTACAACACAATTATAGACATTTTATTTACTATCCAGAACCACCAGTGAACCAACACGAGTTTATATGGAATGTTGATGATGGAAAAATAGGAAAAAATCCGAAATAATAATTTTTTTTTTTTGGGACTATTTTGCCTCACAACACCCTGCATGTATCCCTCCACCATGAATGGAGTTCATGTTCTCAAAATCTATCGTTAAACAGCGTCTCAGACATCAGGCGGTGAATTCATAACCATTTAATGTAGTAACTTTCTGTGAGGGAGCTTTTAGAGGTGGACGTCTGGTTCTTATCACCACCACTGTAAACAATTCTGACTCTGTAAGAACAGCGTTTTACATCGAACCACTCTGAGTGGCTTTGTTTACATCTTAACCATTTAATTATGCAGAAAAGCTCTTATCTAGAGTGACTTGGAGAATTCAGTGTTTGTCTTCAGCTGGTTCCCAGTTTGACGTGTAAATTATAGCGTGTAAAAACACTTGGCTTGTGCGCCGTGTGGTGCGTTTTCAGGTTAAGTAGGGAGCTCATGTTGTCTCATGTTGCCTGTTCATCTCTGTGTTTGTCTTATTTTCTCCTCTCTGCCAGACGCTGTTCACGTTTTGTGTGCATCTTTGCTCGGTTGTGACGTACATGATCATGACAGCATAGTGAGTATCTCTGTTTCTCCTCAACATCCTCTGGGCTAGCCTGTTGTACACTGTGACAGTGTGAGGATTTGATTGCATTCAGCCATGAGAGCATTAGTGAGGTCAGGTACTGATGTTGGATGGTTAGTTCTGGATCTCCTACTCATCCCAAAGGTACTGGATGGAGCTCCATCATCCGTCATCAGGGGGCTTTTCTAGACTTTAAACCGGAAGATCTCGCTTTAGAAACTGCACTCTTGAAAAAGATGCTTTTTCAAGGGTTCTTTGGTAACAGGAATGGTTCTGTTTAGAACCTTGAATATTTAAAGAACCATTTGCATGCTTAAATGGTTCTTTTCATGGTGAAATCGTTCTTCAGATTGGTGGAGAAGGTGTTGTATATGGTTCTGTAGAAAACCTTTTTAAAATTGGTTCTGTATAGCACCAAAAAGGGTTCTTCTGTTGTTACAAGCTTGATGTCACTCTTAGTAAAAAGGTTTTATTTTAGTACCAAGAAAGGATTTTTTGGCTTGTAACAATAGTGGAACCCTATTTGGTGCTACGTAGAACCATCGACAGCACATTCTCCATCCATCTGAAGAACACTTTCATATGCAAAGAACCCTTCTTTGCATTCTTCAAGGGTTCTTTAGTACAGAAAATGGTTCTATACAGAACAATGAACATTCAAGGACCCCTTTGCATGAGTAAAGGGTTCTTTGCATCGTGAAAGCGTTCTTCAGACTGATGGAGAATGTGTTGTAGATGGTTCTATATAAAACCTTTTTGAAATGGTTCTATATAGCACCAAAAAAGGTTCTTCTATTGTTACAAGCTTGATGTCACTCTTAGCGAAAAGGATTTTATTTTAGTACCAAAAAAGGATTTTTTTGGCTTGTAACAATAGTGGTACGTAGAACTATCTACAGCACATTCTCCATCCGTCTGAAGAACCTTTTCATGATGCAAAGAACCCTTAAATCACACTCTTAAAAAACATGATTCTTCAAGGGTTCTTTAGTAAAGAAAATGATTCTATATAGAACAATGAACATTCAAGGAACCCTTTGCATGAGTAAAGGGTTCTTTGCATCGTGAAAGGGTTCTTCAGACTGACGGAGAATGTGCTGTGGATGGTTCTATATAGCACCAAAAGAGTTCTTCTATTTTTACAAGCTTGACATCGTAACAATAGAAGAACTCCTATTATTTTACTAAAGAACCCTTGAAGAACCATCTTTTTTAAGAGTGTATGTAGCACCAACAATGGTTCTGCTACTGTTACATTGTCAAGTTTGTAACAGTAGATGGGTTCTTTGCATGGTGAAATGGTTCGTTAGATTCGTTCTATATAGAACCTTTTTGAAAAGGGTTCTAAATAGTGCCATAAAGGTTCTCCTATTGTTACGATGTCAAGGTTGTAACAATAGAAAAACCCTTTTTGTTGCTATATAGAACCATTTTCAAAAATGTTCTATATACAGCCGTACGCAACACATTCTCCATCATTTCACCATGCAAATCGTTCTGTATAGAACCATTCCCTTTACTAAAGAACCTTTGAAGAACCATATATGTTAAGATTGTACTGAAACACCACTCTAGGAGGTGTCTAGGCATGTTTACATCAGGTGTAGTGATGGTTATAGTTTTATTTTGGTCCTCAGTGTAGTTTCAGTACTTTAACAGTGTTCCTGTTTCATCTCTTGTCTGTAACAGTCCAGTGGAGTACTGCATGCAGGACTACAGCACTGTATTTATGGTGGACGTGGTCTTCAATCTCTTTTACGTTGTAAACTTTGGCCTCAGGGTAAGTACACAAGGTAGTTCTGGAAATAATGATAGTAATAATGCATTTTGTTCATGTAGTGCTTATCCTTAAAGACTCTAACAGAACAGAAGTTCCTCCAGAATCAACACTATTGTGACTCCGTTCTGTGCAATTGCTCCAGCAAATCTTGAAGGATCCATAAGTGACCCTTATTAGTCCCACAATGGGGAAATTTCACCTCCGCATTTTAACCCATCCATGCAGTGAAACACCACATCAAGTCAAGTCAAGTCAGCTTTTATTGTCAACACTACAATATGTACAAGACATAGAGTATTGAACTTGCGTTACGCTCAGACCCCATGGTGTAAACACTAATCGTAAGCAAAATAAACACTAATTGTAGAAAAATAGAATAATAAAAAGAAAAAAAGAATAATATAAATGTAAGAAGGTCCTGAAATTAACACTAAAGTGACATAAGGCACAAACAGATTAAGGTCTGTGGGTATAAATAGTGCAAATATAAACAGTAGTACAATTAAACAGTAGTACAATCAGAGTTCAGTATTGGGGAGTCGGGGTCAGGAACCTGTGTTTGGGTCCCAACTTTGTGTGTGGGGGGGGCAAAGTAGGGAGAGAGTTGAGCATCCTGACAGCCTGGTGGATGAAGCTGTCCCCCAGTCTGCTGGTCCTGGCCCGGAGACTCCGCAGTCTCCTCCCTGATGGCAGCAGGCTGAAGAAGCTAGTACACGCACATGCACGCTAGTGAGCGCACACACACTAGGGGGCACTGAGCACACTTGCCCAGAGCGGTGGGCCAGCCCTATCCACAGCGCCCAGGGAGCAGTTGGGGGTTAGGTGCTTTGCTTAAGGGCACTTCAGTCACGTACTGTCTGCTCAGGCTGGTTCCCTGACCTCCAGCCCACGACTGCTTTAAATAAAGGAGTTAAATGTGGAATGTAAACACTGTTATGTAAACACAGTTTCAAAAAGTACCCAGTCCATACAGTCCATATACTACGCTGCAGTGCCGCCCATTTTCAGCTGTTTCTGTGATGTACATCTTTTCGTTCTTTATTTAATTAATTATATTTTTCATTTGTCCTTGTTGTATCTTATTTACTAAGTGTAACGCCACACAACTGACCAGATGTTTGCGGATAAAATTAGGAAAGGAGGCTTTACTGGCACAGGTCAAATCCAAGATAAGCCAAAAATACAAATGGACAAACATAACAAAGGCAGGGGAACACAATCAAAAAGGCGAAGGCAAAAGGCGTAGTCAGAAACACAAAAAACACAGTTTGATACACAAAAAGGCAATACAAGAGAGAACCCTCATGAGAGAGAACCCAACCGCTCAAGTGAAAGAAGCAACACCTCACAAAGATCTAACCTGAAGGCTGGGCTCTATATACTAACTATCACCAGACATATGACAAACAAAACAGATTTGTGTTCACAGAGCCTGTTTATGAGGAGCCTGGCCACTTCTTATTTCCCCCGTTACATCAAAAAACAGGACAGCTGAACAGCAGAGGGCGTCCGCGAGCCAGTCCTCAACGAATGGGAGTAAATGGAGCTTAACAGCTAAAAACAAAAAGTTAAAATAGTTTCTAAACACTCGTCCAGAACTTTCCTTTAAGTTTAGAAAGTAGAAGGATGTATAACACTAACAAAGCAAAGGTAACTGATGTGAGGATTTGGGGCTGATAATCAATATTTTTGTACTATATAGAACCCTTACAGAACCATCTTTATAATGTCGTCGTATTAGTTTTTTGGAACGGTGGTTCCAAACTTTTGAGTGTATCTAACTGAACATTTGTATCGAGGTGTTTGTCTACTTTGCCTCATGTAAAGGTGGAAAGCTCTCCCAAACGAGGGTCATCTGGTCAATCTGGAACTTCTGAGCTGACTTTGAGCAGCGCATTCACCCTTAGGACGGGCACTGAGGAACACTCGAGTAATGCGTTATGCTTTTGTGTCTTTGCTGGTTAGTTCATAGCAGCCCAGGATGAGCTGCTGGTGTGGGTGGAGCTGAAATCACTCATAGACTTCTTCACCATCACTCCGTCCATCATCAGCCTGTTCACAAGGCGAGCATGGCTCGGTAAGTGTGTCGTGCATACTGGAATTACAGATGTGTTAATAGGTGAATATGTGCATTTCTGCGATTGTATGGTGCTTTTTTACATGCTTATATGGATCATTCTACTGTCAGAGTTGAAAACACTTAACTGACTTTAAAATCCTTTAGCATTGACTCTATACCTTAATTATGTTTATATAATTAAACAAATGACTCAATGTTCCATTTTGTCACTACCAAAATAATCATAGCACTATCAAAACTTTACCAAATGTTCTAGTAGTGACTGTTTTGGTAGTGACCGTTTTAGTGTGTGAGTTCGGACCATGCCTTCAACATGGCGATGGTAGTATGGGGGAAGACTGAGAGGGAGGGGGGAGAACTCTGAGAACTTCTAAACAGCTTCTCCCTGTAGCTAGAAGGCTGGGTCCCCTCATAGCTGTAGTAGGACTGATTTAGGACTGAGGAATAGGGAGGAGTTGGGGTGGTGGTTGAACGGAAGTGTTGTCATGGGAACGGAAGGTGGGGATGTGAATTCATAGGGTGTTAGATTGGAAGAAGGAGGGGTTTCAGGCATGTTCCCATATTTCAGCAGTGGTGGACGGTAATGAAGTAAATGTAATTCGTTGCTGTACTTAAGTAGTTTTTTGTGTATCTGTACTTTACTGAAGTTTTTCCATTTTGGGTGACTTTTTTCTTTCACTCCACTACATTTCAAAGTCAAATATCTCACTTTTTACTCCGCTACATTATGAGAAATCTGTTGTTCCTTTTGGTTTATGTGTGTATAAAAACGTAACATGTCAAAATGAAAGAAGAGTGAAGCAAGAACACCAATCAGGGCACAGCGGTCACTTTGTTTTGAGCTTGTTTTGACCTGTTGGTCATACCGACCCAGTGCAGCACACAGTTCAACATCAGTGCAGCAGCGTAAAAGTTTGGGAGAGTCTATTCAACATAAATGATGAACTAACCTAACTTTGTGTAAACAGACCACAATATAGAAATATGTACTCATATGCAGTTGTGACTGACGTGTCTTTATTCTGAATTTATACAAACACATTTCATTTTATAGTAAATTAGTTTTGTCTAGTTTATGTTTATGAACAGAGACCTACAGATGCAGTTTAGTAAAGGAAAACTCATTTGTGAATCTGAGTTTAAAGTTTTTATTAATCTTGTAACTAAGTTGAAAATAAATCTTAAACTGAAACTTTGTTTGTTTGTAAAAAGTGATTTCAGAGCCACTCAGTTCTACCTGATGGAAACTGTTTGCCTTCAGTGTTTTGTGCTTATGATAATTTTAATAGACATCAGCGTCACTAATTAATGACCTTCTATTAAAAGACTGGTTTACCAAGAGAGACACTGGAGTATTTTCACCTAGAATGAGTTACAAAAATGATAATAGGACATCAGAGCCGTAATTAATCTTTTAGTACTTTTACTTTCGATACTTAAGTACATTTGAAGGCAAATACTTTTGTACTTTTACTCAAGTGGAGGTCTAAAGGGAGGAACTTCTACTTTTACTGGAGTAATATTTTACCTTGGGTATCTCTACTTTAACTCAAGTACATGGTTTGTGTACTTCGTCCACCACTGAACTTCAGCTATAACATAACTACATCTCAGCAGGTCAGCAGAACTCAGAAACACTAGCCAGTACATGACACAGCTTTACAAGAAACTGTTCTACCTTTGAGAAAAAGTTTCCTGCCGGAGATGCAAGAAAAGCGGCTATAGCTGAGATGAGGAGTGGTGAACCCCTCCCCATCTTTACTTCTGAAAGACTCCGCCTCTCTGAGATGCTCATTTTATACCCAATCATGTTACTGACCAGTTGCCAATTAACCACCGGGTGTTTTTTTAGCTTTACACAACTTTATCAGCCTTTTGTTTCCCCTGTCGTCCCAACTTTTTAGGAAAGTGTTGCTGGCATTAAATTTAAAATGGGCAAATATTTTTCAAAAAGCAAATAATATTCCTCAGTTTCAACATTTGATATGTTGTCTTTGAAGCATTTTCAATGAAATATAGGATTTAAATGATTTGCCTGTCATTGCATTTAGTTTACATTCTGCAGAGCGGCCCAGTTTTTTTGGAAATTGGGTTATAATAAAGTAAAACAGTTTTCCTGTAACAGTTTTATCAGATTAACTAACTGACAGACACTGTTCTCGTTTACTCTGTGTGTGAAGTGTTGTGACTCCGTGTTGAGCTGCTAGTGAGCAATGATGGGTGAAAGAGGAGGGATGAGAACCCCCTCCTGTGAAAAACTATTCACCCCTCTCCACAAAGACAGCCTTGTAGAGTTAAAACAGACAACTTTCAAACAGCAAAGAGCATTTCAGCTTTCATTAAAACACATTTATGAATGTTGACCTTCCTGCTTCCATGTATAGATGACAGTCCAGTTTGCTGCTGGTTTTGTAAATCATTGACATTTTCAGTTTTTACTAAAGATAAAAGAAACGGCATAGTTGAGGGTCCTCCTCCAAAACAGGTGGAAATCTTATGGCTTCTGTGAAAAAGCATTAGGGCTTGTGTAGATCAGACTGGTGCTCTCTGTGTGTGCTGTGCAGGTTTGAAGTTCCTCAGAGCTTTACACCTTCTGGAGCTGCCCAGAGTCCTTCAGCTCCTCAACATCCTCCACAGCAAGTGAGACACACAGCACTACACACTGCATCTACGTTTCTTTCTCATGTACACTGTTAGAGGAAAGGGTACATTACAGGTCTGTTTAGTTCCCCAAGGTACAAAGAACATTAATGTATCCTCTGAGGTCACGTGAGGTACGGATATGTACCTTAACCCCTTAAATTCCCAGCATTCAGGCAGCACGGCTGAGCTATTCCTGTGGTATAGAAGTGAGGGATGGATGAATGGACCTGCCTGTGACTCCTTAACATTTAAGGCATTTACAGAAGAGATACACCGATCAGGCATAACATTATGACCACCTCCTTGTTTCTACACTCATTGTCCATTTTATCAGCTCCACTTACTATATAGGTGCACTTTGTAGTTCTACAGTTACAGACTGTAGTCCATCTGTTTCTCTGCATACTGTGTTAGCCCCCTTTTACCCTGTTCTTCAGTGGTCAGGACCCCCATGGACCCTCACAGAGCAGGTACTATTTGGTTGGTGGATCATTCTCAGCACTGCAGTAACACTGATGTGGTGGTGGTGTGTTAGTGTGTGTTGTGCTGGTCTGAGTGGATCAGACACAGCAGTGCTGCTGGAGTTTTTAAACACCTCAGTGTCACTGCTGGACTGAGAATAGTCCACCAACCAAAAATGTCCAGCCAACAGCGTCCTGTGGGCAGCGTCCTGTGACCACTGATGAAGGACTAGAGGATGACCAACACAAACTGTGCAGCAGCAGATGAGCTATCGTCTCTGACTTTACATCTACAAGGTGGACCGACAAGGTTGGAGTGTCTAATAGAGTGGACAGTGAGTGGACACAGTGTTTAAAAACTCCAGCAGCACTGCTGTGTCTGTTCCACTCGTACCAGCACAACACACACTAACACACCACCACCACGTCAGTGTTACTGCAGTGCTGAGAATGATCCACCACCCAAATAGTACCTGCTCTGTGAGGGTCCATGGGGGTCCTGACCACTGAAGAACAGGGTAAAAGGGGGCTAACACAGTATGCAGAGAAACAGATGGACTACAGTCTGTAACTGTAGAACTACAAAGTGCACCTATAGAGTAAGTGGAGCTGATAAAATGGACAATGAGCGTAGAAACGAGGAGGTGGTCATAATGTTATGCCTGATGGTTGTATGTTCACTTTTCTTGGTGTTTTATTATTCGCAAAAGATTCTAAACTTGTGAACTTCTCTCTCTCTCTCTATTTGTCTCTCTGTCTCTCCGTCTCTCTCTCTCTCTCAGCACCTCACTGAAACTCACTCGGCTTATCTCTGTTCTGGTTGGATCTTTGCTGACCGCAGCTGGTGTAGTTCACCTGGTGAGTGTTGTTCAATCCAGATTTAATATTAGTTAGCTTGTGTGTAAAGCTGGGCAATAAGATGATATCTATCATATTTATTTGTTAGCATGATACATTTGTAGCATAATATGTCTGCGAAAAGATCAGGTCTTCTCTTACTGCCCTGCTCTCATTGTCCAGATTATAGAAACGGAATTATAACTCTGTTATACAACACCTGTATACACTGTTTCCATGGTTACTTTACACCTATTTGCATGGTAATGCTACACGTATTTCCATAGTTGCACTACAACCATTTATGTGGCTATGCTACACTCATTTCCATGGTTACATTACACCAATATGATGATGTTACATCTTTTTCCATGGTTACACTATGCCCATTTACACTATTATGCTACACCCATTTCCATGGTTACACTACACCCATTTACATGATTACGTTTCATCTGTATTTATAGTTGCACTACCCCCATTTACATGGTTATGTTACATCTGTTCCCATGGTTACTCTACACCCATTTACATGATTACGTTTCATCTGTATTTATAGTTGCACTACCCCCATTTACATGGTTATGTTACATCTGTTCCCATGGTTACTCTACACCCATTTACATGGTTATGCTACATCTGTTTCTATGGTTACACTATGCCCATTTACATGGTTATGCTACATCTGTTCCCATGGTTACTCTACACCCATTTACATGGCTATGCTACATCTGTTTCTATGGTTACACTATGCCCATTTACATTGATATGCTACATCTGTTGCCATGGTTACACTACATCCATTTACAGGATTACATTACATCTGCTTCCATGGTTACACCACACTCATTTACATGGTTATGTTACATTTGTTGCCATGGTTACACTACACCCATTTACATGGTTATGTTACATTTGTTGCCATGGTTACACTACACCCATTTACATGGTAATGCTGCATCTGTTGCCATGGCCACACTACAAACATCAACATGGTTATGCTACATCTGTTGCCATGGTCACACTACAACCATTAACATGGTTATGCTACATCTGTTGCCATGGTCACACTACAACCATTAACATGGTTATGCTACATCTGTTGCCATGGTCACACTACAACCATTAACATGGTTATGTTACATCTGTTTCCATGATTACGCTATGCCCATTTACATGGTTATACTACACTTGTTTCCATGGTTACACTACACCCATTAACATGATTATGTTACATCTGTTTCCATGGTTACACTACACCCATTTCCATGGTTATGCTGAATCTATTGCCATAGTTATACTACACTGATTACCATGGTTATGTTACATCGTTATCTGTTTCCATGGTTACACTACACCCACTTACACGATTATGCTGCAGTGCTTCCATGGTTACACTACACCCATTTCCATGGTAACACTACACTTATTTACATGGTTAACCTACATTCACTTACATGGGTTTGCTGCACTGGTTCTATGGTTACACAGTTGTTTCCATAGTAACACACTTCACCCATTTATATAACACTCTTTGCCTGGGCTTTATGCTTAATAACGTTATGTTTTGTGCAGGTGGAGAACTCTGGAGACCCCTGGAGCTCCGTGCCCAATACAAACCTTCTCACCTACTTCAACTCTGTGTACTTTCTGGTCGTAACCATGTCGACAGTCGGCTATGGTGATGTGTGGCTCCATACTGTCTCCGGCCGCTTCTTCACCATCATCTTCATCACCACTGGACTGGTACTACCACACACACATGTACACACTCATGCAGACGTGCTGTTTTAAAGAACGACCAACCTAATTTCAGTCTTATATTTTTCACAAGTGAGTCTTATGTTCCCACCAGGGTCTGTTTGCCAGCTACGTTCCTGAAGTGATTGGGATTATCATTAACAGGAAGAGATTTGACGGCAGCTACACAAACACTTCAGAAGAGACGTGAGAAACTTATCAAAGCGCTTTGGCCGTTCTGCATTTCTCTGTTTGTTTTGCTCACAATTGTCCTGACTATGTAGGAAAACCAGAGAGAAACTGAGCTCACCCCCATATCAGGAGCAACAAAATGACAGCAAAAGATCCTAATATTCTTAGATACTTAAATGTGTTACACATATTTAAAATATTAACATTGTTATTACCCATGTGGAAAAAATATATATATTCCAAATGTTATTTATCAAATAAAAATGTTCAATATATAATAATGGCCAAAATGCATTTGTTAAATACATTTTAAAATGCCTTTTAAGTGTTTTTTACAAATGTATTTATAAAAAATATATTTTTAAGTTGGATGAAAATGGCCAAAAACTATATTTGTTAAAAGTATTTTAAAATGGATTTTTAATCTATTTTTTTAATATTTGTTATTATATTTTTTCAATTGTATGTAGTTTTAACAAAGGTGACAGACAGACCTGACTATACCTGAACTGAACAGTACTGACTTCTGTGATCTGCATGATATCAAATCATAACTGCATTTTCACAGAGTATCAATACCTACAGCACTCGCTACTGTCATGTTAAAGGTTCATTTGCTAATATTTAAAATGAAGATACTGGGATACGAATTCATTTCAAAAGGTATTGAGCAGTAAAGTGTATTAGACAGGATTTTGGCTATTTACATACATTTTCAAAAACATTTGATAAACACATTTACATACATTTATTTTGTAAAGTACCTTTTTATGTGTAATATTTCCCCATTCATTGTAAAATAAATGCATTTTAAAATATATTTGGTTAATAAGGCAAAATATTCTGAAATACATTTTGGTGTTTGGTGTTTTTTTTCCATATGGGTACTATTACATACAAGTACTTACATATTGTCACTATCAAGAAAAAAAAGCATGTATTCCTTTTTTTTATTTTAATTTTTCCAGATCATTTAAACAGTAGCTGTTCTTAATATTCTGTAGAACGTCACGATGAAAGGACCAATATAAATGCTTTAAAATTAAAAATTAATTTTCGTTACGTTACATTAAAAGTTAAGAATGTTTTTGCCTTCTTCTGTAAAGTTATCATTTTGGTGATACTTGACAGTGTTTATATTTGGGACATATTATTATTGCATATAAATACTGACATATATAAAAATATGGGGCATATTATCATTACATACACACCAATCAGGCATAACATTATGACCACCTCCTTGTTTCTACGCTCATTGTCCATTTTATCAGCTCCACTTACTATATAGGTGCACTTTGTAGTTCTACAGTTACAGACTGTAGTCCATCTGTTTCTCTGATACTTTGTTAGCCCCCTTTTACCCTGTTCTTCAGTGGTCAGGACCCCCATGGACCCTCACAGAGCAGGTACTATTTGGGTGGTGGGTAATTCTCAGCACTGCAGTAACGCTGACGTGGTGGTGGTGTGTTAGTGTGTGTTGCGCCGGTCTGAGTGGATCAGACACAGCAGTGCTGCTGGAGTTTTTAAACACCTCAGTGTCACTGCTGGACTGAGAATAGTCCACCAACCAAAAATATCCAGCCAACAGCGTCCTGTGGGCAGCGTCCTGTGGGCAGCGTCCTGTGGGCAGCGTCCTGTGACCACTGATGAAGGACTAGAGGATGACCAACACAAACTGTGCAGCAGCAGATGAGCTATCGTCTCTGACTTTACATCTACAAGGTGGACCGACAAGGTAGGAGTGTCTAATAGAGTGGACAGTGAGTGGACACAGTGTTTAAAAACTCCAGCAGCACTGCTGTGTCTGATCCACTCGTACCAGCACAACACACACTAACACACCACCACCACGTCAGCGTTACTGCAATGCTGAGAATGATCCACCATGGGGGTCCTGACCACTGAAGAACAGGGTAACAAAGTATGCAGAGAAACAGGTGGACTACAGTCTGTAACTGTAGAACTACAAAGTAAAACTATATGGTCAGTGGAGGTGATAAAATGGACAATGAGTGTAGAAACAAGGAGGTTTGTGTCCTGAAAAGTATTCCACTATCAATACGGCTATTATTATTATTATTATTATTGTTATTATTATTATTATCGATACTCATGAACACGACTGTGAGAGAAGCAATATCTCCTGGAGAGAATCTGCTCAGTAAAGGTTGTTAAAGTTGCTCTTCTAATCTCTGTCTGTCTCTTTTCTTCCCCAAAAACTGACACTGATGTGGTCAGTCATGTGGTGGTGTGTGGCCACATCACTCTGGCCAGCGCCTCTGCGTTTATGAAGGAGTTCCTGCACAAGGACAGAGGGGACGTTCACATCAAGGTGCTCTTCCTGGGAAAGTGAGTCACAGCTTTAAAGCAATACACCAGCATTTTTCACCCTAATCTACGGAAGTCTGGAGAGGCCATGAGGTAGTTACATCTTTCTGGATTGTTATATTGAGATCACAACTTAACTATCTTGTGATCTCAAGATGACAAAGTTGTTTTCTTGAGATCATGACTTAATTATCTTGTGACATCAAGATAAACAAGTTGTTATCCTGAGGTCACAAGATAACTAAGTCATGATCTCAAGATGACAACTTTACTGTCTTGTGATCTCAAGATAACTCTTGTGATCTCAAGATAAACTTGTTGTCTTGGGATCATGACTTAATTATCTTGTGATATCAAGATAACAAAAGTTGTTATCCTGAGGTCACAAGATAACTAAGTCATGATCTCAAGATGACAACTTTACTGTCTTGTGATCTCAAGATAACTCTTGTGATCTCGAGATAAACTTGTTGTCTTGCGATCGTGATTTAATTATCTTGTGATATCAAGACAAAAAAAGTTGTTATCCTGAGGTCACAAGATAACCAAGTTGTGATCTTAAGATAACGACTTAACTGTCTTGTGATCTCAATATATACTTGTTATCTTGAGATAACAACTATCTTGTGATCTCAATAACAACTGTCTTGTGATCTCAAGATAGTGAAGTTGTTATCTTGAGATCACAATTGTCTTGTGGTCTGAAGATAACAAAGGTTGTTATCTTGAGATCACAACACAATTAAGTCGTGATCTCAAGATAACAACCCAGAAAGTTATAGCCACAGCTCTTAGCCTCTCCAGACATCCATTCTAATCTCCATCTGTTTCATCCGTAGCATTCAGTCAGTTACCACAGCATCTGCCCACTGGACTCTATTATAAGTGTAGAGTCAGTGGGTTTTCTGTTCTTTTATAACTACAGGAAGACAAAAAGAAATTATTGTCTATGATTGAACGTTTACAGTAGGTTTGCTTAATAACACTGCGTTTCCAGTTTAACCCCTTAAACCCCTAAAACCCCAGACCTTCTAAACTAAGTTGAGATCATTTTAAAAAGCTGTGCAGAAGGTTGATTTAACCTTTAAACCTTACCTGACTTTTTACTGTCTGTAGAGCCATTTAAACATGATTATGGTAATAATATCACAATGGAAGATTTAATATTATACAACAGTTAGTTCCAGCCATGTTGAGAAGCGTTCTAACTGTGCTGATATTTCACCATAACATCACGGGTTTTTCACAACACTGTATCACTCCGCTGAGACGCCGTTGCTAAGCAACGACTTTGACAGCTGTAGGAGACGCTCAAGACATTTAAACGTTTTTACTTCTCACTTTGCCACAAACAGAAAATGGACACTTTTAAGATCACATTTGACCGACAGCCGATTTGGTCAGACTCTGAAGATGAGACGACACTAAATTCCCAAACTGTCATCACCACTGAGCAGCTTTTCAGTCGGCAGCTGTGACAGAAGAACAGCTGAACAACCTGGAATCAGCCAGAAATGAACCCAACACCATTCGCCAAACTAAATGGGCTGTAAGAAGCTTTACAGACTGGCTGGAACAAAACAACATTAATACTGATCTGGCAAAAACTGACAAAACTGAGCTAAACTTGATATTGCGGCAGTTTTATGGCTCAGTCTGATTTGGTCAGACTCTGAAGATCAGACTACACGTTTGGCGAATGGTGTTGGGTTCATTTCTGGCTGATTCAGGTTGTTCAGCTGTTCTTCTGTCACAGCTGCCGACTGAAAAGCTGCTCAGTGGTGATGACAGTTTGGGAATTTAGTGTAAGGAGCTGGAGAACGAACTGCCGGCTGTGCAGCGAGTGGGCGGAGCTCGTTACTCTGACGTAGCAACGAGCTGCTTGTTAAGGAACCATAATTTAGTGAAGGAACTGCGAACATTAAAACATATTAAACGCCGCGTTCACGGCCCAGTTTATTAATTTATTACTGTATTTATTTAACTGTTGTATAAAAGCAATAGAACACTCGAGGAGTGTGTTATCGCCAATAACAATCACAGCCGTGACGTTATTTCGTGATAACACACTCCCTCTCGTGTTCTATTGCTTAATTATACTAATTTTACTATAATATCTTACATTTGTGATCATATTTTTGGACCTGGCTTGTCACGATTTCTCTGAATGCTGATTATGGATTGTGTGATGTGTAGTTTTCATCCGGATCAGGAGCTGGTGGCTTTCTTCAATCTGCACTTCGTGCAGGCCTCGTTCTACGAGGGTTCTGTACTGGAGAGACACGACCAGGAGAGAGTGATGGTACACACACGCTTACATGGCCTATTCTACTGAATTAGTTCAAACTGCACTCCTACAGTAAAAAATAAACCATTTAAAAAACAACGAAGTATTCAGAGCTTAGATTTTCTCAGAGGATTATGTTCTGATGTATTTAAACCCAAAGGATTAATAGAGATAGAAATAAACTAAATATATACACAATCATCATTTATATGATACTTTATATTAAGATGTTTTTGACTTATTTTAAAGTGAAGTTGAAACATTTTATCATTTATATCACTTATAGCTTAAATTAAAAAAGGTTATTCAAAAAATGCTGCCCTACGTTTTCATGCCACTAGTTTTAGTCTGTGGGTGGAGCCTTATTTTAGCCACGCCCCTATGTTTTAGAGCAGGAAGTGAGGCTGCATCCCTGTCCCTCATGGCCACATGGTGAGCAGTTAGATCCCACTGTTTTGTAGTAAATGTGTCCCAAAGTCTGAAAATCAGTGTGGAACATTAAGAATCGTCAGTACTGAAACACAGATGTGCTGCAAAGTAAACTTTGACTCAGAAAGACTCTGTTTACATGGTACCATTTGATTAAGCAGAAATTTTGAAAAATCAGTGGAATTTCCCTTTAATGGAGATTTTTTTTTCCCAAGAAATTTCAGATGCATTCATCATGAAATGAGGCAGCCAGTGACTTTTATATTGTGTTAAAAAAATAAAATTAAAAAGAAATAAAAATGAAGTTTAAGGTTTAGTCCTGACAGCGACTACCTGTTGCGTAGCTTGGCAGCAGTTTTATATATGTTTATATTTTATAGTTAAAATTTTTATATCTATACAAATAGATGGTTCTTTCAAGGTTCTTTAATAAAGACAGTGTCTCTGTATCGAACCATGAACACTCAAAGAACCATTTGCATGTTTAAATGGTTCTTTGAATGGTAAAATGGTTCTTCAGATTGATGGAGAATGTGCTGTGTACGGTTCTATATAGAATCTTTTTAAAATTCTAAATAACACCAAGAAGGGTTCTGCTTTTGTTACAAGCTTGACATCGTAACAGTAGAAGAACCCTTTTTGGTGCTATACAGAACCATATACAGCACAATCTCCATCAATCTGAAGAGCCATCTTCCCATGCAACGATTCAGACTGACGGAAAACGTGTTTTATATGGTTCTGTATAGGACCACAGAGGGTTCTGCTGTGTTTATGATGTCATGCTTGTTACAGTAGAAGAGTGTAGAGCTACAGATAGAACTACAGTGTAGAACTGTTTTCAAAAAGGTGCTATGTAGAAACATACACAACAAGTTCTCCATCAATCTGAAGAACCATTTCACCATGCTAAGAACCATTTAAGCATGCAAATGGTTCTTTGAGTGTTCATGGTTCTACATAGAACCATTTTCTTTACTAAACAACCCTTGAAGAACCATCTTGTTTAAGAGTGTGTCTTTTGGCAAGATAAGTCTGTTATATGAGTGAAGCCTATTTGATTTGATTTAATACTCTCTCTCTCTCTCTCTCTCTCTCTCTCTCTCTCTCTGTGTGTGTGTGTGTGTGTGTGTGTGTGTGTGTGTGTGTGTGTGTTCAGATGAGTGAGGCCAGTGCCTGCTTGATTCTCTGTGATCGCTTCGCTGATGATCAGAACAATGAAGATGTAGCCAATCTCATGCGGTAAATCCTATATAAACGTGTCTTACTGTTCCTCCAGGTGGAGTCGGAGTCGTGGTTTCTGACAGTTTGTTCATGTCTTGATTTGCAGAGTCATTTCCATAAAGCGCTACTGTCCCGACACCAGAGTGATCGTGCAGATGTTCAAACACAGCAGCAAGGTGAGCTCAGATCTAGCCCATGATATTACACTACAGCTTTAACCCCTTCAATAGCCAGGAGTCAGCAGTAGCTCCAGGCGTCCGTTGCTCACTCAGTTAATAATAATAAGCCTTAGGATGTATTAAGACCTGGGCCTGAAATCTGGAATTCTTCAGATCCAAAAAAAAGCAGGAAGATAACACACTCTTAAAATGATGGTTCTTCAAGGGTTCTTTAGTACAACCCCAAATAAAAAAAAAGTTGGAATTCTGGGCAAAATGTAAATGAAAACAAAATGCAATAATGTGAAAATCATTTAGACCCTATTTTTGATTCAAATTGGATAAAGACAACATATCAGATGTTGAAACTGAGAAATTTCATTGTTTTTTGAAAACTCTATAGCCATTTTGAATTTGATGCCATCAACATGTTCCAAAAAAGGCTGGTAACAAAAGGCTTGTAAAGTTGTGTAATGCTAAAAAAAACACCTGGGGGTTAATTGGCAACAGGTCAGTAACATGATTAGGCATAAAAGAGCATCTCAGAGAGGCGGAGTGTTTCAGAAGTAAAGATGAGAAGGGGTTCACCACTCTGTGAAAGACTGCACAGGCAAATAGTGCAACAATTCAAGAATAACGTTTCTTAACATAAAACAGGAAAAAACTTTTGTTTTTCATCATTTACGGTACAAAATATCATTAAAAGATTCAGAGAATCTGGACAAATCTCTGTATGTAAAGGACAAGGCCAAAAACCAGTATTTGCTGGCCGTGATCTTTGGGCCCTCAGGAGGCACTGCATTAAAAACAGACGTGATTCTGTAGAGGAAATCACTGCATGGGCTCAGAAACACTTCTGGAAACCACTGTCTGTGAACCCAGTTCATCACTGCATCCACAAATGCAAGTTAAAACTCTAAAACACAAAGAACAAACCATTTATAAACAGGATCCAGAAATGCTGCCACCTTTTCTGGGCCCGAGCTCATTTAAAATGGACTGAGGCGAAGTGGAAAAGTGTTCTGTGGTCCAACGAATCAACATTTGAAATTTTTTTTGGAAATCATGGACACTGTGACCTCCGGGCTAAAGACCACTCAGCTTGTTATCAGTGCACAATTCAAAAGCCAGTATTCATGATGGTATAGGGGGGCATTAGTGCACATGGCATGGGTGACGTGCACATCTGTGAAGGCACCATTAATGCTGAACGATATATACATGTTTTGGCAACATATGCTGCCATCCAGACGACGTCTTTTTCAGGGAAAGCCTTGATTATTTCAGCAACATGATGCCAAACCGCATTCTGCATGTATTACAACAGCATTGCTCCATATTAAAAGAGTCCAGGTGCTAAACTGACCTGCTTGCAGTCCAGACCTGTCACCCACTAAAACATTTGGCTGAAATCCTGTATCAAACAAGAACAGGAAAACATTTCACTTTCAAAACTACAGCAGTGTCTCCTCAGTTCCCAAACGCTTACAGAGTGTTGTTAAAAGAAAAGGTGATGAAACACAGTGGTAAACAGGCCCCCGTCCCAACTTTTTTGGAACATGTTGTTGGCATTAAATTCAAAGTGGGCATATATTTTTCAAAAAACAATAAAATGTCTCAGTTTTAACATTTGATATGTTGTCTTTGTAGTATTTTCCTTTAAAAACATGGTTTACATGATTTGCACATCATTTCATCCTATTTTTATTTACATTCAGCACAGCTTTTTGGAAATGGGGTTGTAAAAGGAATGGTTCTATTTAGAACCATGAGTTATATATATATATATATATATATATATATATATATATATATATATATATATAACCATTTCATGCTAAAATGGTTCTTTACATGGTGAAATGATTCTTCAGATTGATGGAGAATGTGTTTTATATGGTTCTGTATTGTACCGAAGTCTGGAGAGGCCATGAGCTGCTGCTATAATTTTCTGGATTGTTATCTTGAGATAATAAGATAAGGAACTCGTTATTTCAAGATAACAATTTTGTTATCTTGAAATAACAAAAGTAACTCATTATTTCAAGATAACATTTTTGCTATCTTGAAATAACAAGATAAATAACTAACTTTATCTTGAGATCACAAGATAATTAACTCGTTATCTTAAGATAACAACTATTGTTACCTTGAGATAACAAGATACTTAACTCGTTATCTCAAAATAACAATCTAGAAAGTTTTAACTACCTCATGGCCTCTCCGGACTTCTGTAATATAGCACTGTTTTGAAAAGGCAAAAAGGTTCTACATAGGTGAAATGGTTCTTCAGGTTGATGTGTTGTCTGTGGTTCCATATAGAACCTTTTTTAAAAATGGTTCTACAGAGCACGAAAAAGCATTCTTCTAATGTATACAAGCTTGACATCGGGACTATAGCAGAACCCATTTTGGTGCTACATAGAGTCATTTTCAAAGATCTATATAGAACCATATACTGCATATTCTGCATCAATCTGAAAAACCACTTCACCATACACAGAACCATTTAAGCGTGCATATGGTTCTAGATAAAAACATTGCCTTTACTAAAGAACCCTTAAAGACCATCTCTTTTTAGAGTGTAGTGCAAATGTTATTCTATGTGTATCTGTTTTTAATTTTACTGTAAATGGACATTTAGTGTTTTGCCTTATTTAACTCACCTGATTAAAATCAGCTAATTAGCCGCTCTGTGCTGGAAGAGGGATAACGCTACTCTCTGCAGAGCTGCGGCCTGGAGGGAACCCAGTTTGACACCCTTGCCTTGTGTTATGTAGTTCATGCAGCTCTTTCTCTGTCTCTCTCTCTCTGTCTCTCTCTGTCTCTCGGCCCTCTGGTGTCCAGGCGTACCTGCAGAATGTGCCGAACTGGGACTGGAGCCGGGGGGACGCGGTGATCTGCCTGGCCGAGCTCAAACTGGGCTTCATGGCTCAGAGCTGTCAGGTTCCAGGCCTGTCCACTCTGCTGGCCAACCTGTTCACCATGCAGAGCGAAGTGGAGGTACCGAAACAGCAGGAGCATCAATTAATGGGGCTGAAGTTTCAGTGTAACACCAGCATGAAGGAGTCTGAGAAGGACTAGAAAGATCATCACTGTTGTTTAAATCCTCTTTAATTTTTTCTGTCTCTCTCCCTCTCTCCCTCTTTCTCTCTCTCTCTCTCTCTCTCTCATAGAATGAGGGAAATCGTTGGCAGAATCTCTACAGAGAAGGTATATTTAATGAGATGTACACTGAGTACCTCTCCAGCTCCTTCAGCGGTTTGTCCTTCGCTCAGGCCAGCAAGTGAGTTTAACTGAGATAATCCAGAAATCTGTTCTTCTGTCATCCATCCATCCATCCATTCATTTATGCATTCTTCTATCCATACATCCATCCATCCATCCATTCATTTATGCATTCTTCTATCCATACATCCATCCATCCATCCATTCATTTATTTATGCATTCTTCTATCCATTCATCTGTCCATCCATCCATTATGCATGCTTCTATCCATTCATCTGTTCTTGTCATCCATCCATCCATTCATTCATGTATGCATACTTCTATCCATACATCCATCCATCCATTCATTCATTTATGCATACTTCTATCCATTCATCCATCCATCCATCCATTCATTCATTTATGCATTCTTCTCTCCATTCATCTGTCCATCCATCCATTATGCATGCTTCTATCCATTCATCTGTTCTTCTGTCATCCATCCATCCATTCATTCATTTATGCATACTTCTATCCATACATCCATCCATCCATTCATCCATCCATCCATCCATCCATTCATTTGTGCATTCTTCTATCCATTCATCTGTCCATCCATCCATTATGCATGCTTCTATCCATTCATCTGTTCTTCTGTCATCCATCCATCCATTCATTCATTTATGCATACTTCTGTCCATTCAACTATTCAGCCATCATCCATCCATCCATCCATTTATCCAACTGTCCGTCTGTTCAGTTCTTCCGTCCACTCATTCTTCTATGCGTTGCTTTATGCGTCCATTTTTACATGCATTCATTCATCCATGCAGCCATCCATCCATTTGTTTATGTATGCTTCTATTCATCCATACATCCATTCACTCATTCTTCGATCTACCCATCCGTGTATTAGCTATTAGTGTTCTATCTATCCATTCATCCATCCATCCATCTAGACATCCATCCATGCATCCCTTCATTCATCCATCCATTTCTTTATGCAATCATACATCTATCCATTTTTTGTCCGTCCTTCCATCCATCCATTCACTCATCCTTCCATCTGTCCATCCATCCATTCACTCATCCTTCCATCTGTCCATCCATCCATCCATGCATGCATCCCTTTATTCATTTATCCATGCATCCCTTCTATCATCCAATGATCCATTGACCCACACATTTATCCATCCACCCATCTACTCACCATCCTTCCAGCTGTTCCATCTGCCTGTTCTCTAATTCTTTTCTCTCTGTCAGGCTTTGTTTTCTGAAGCTGAAGCTGCTTTTGATTGGAATCGAGTATCAGAATGGAGACGATGATCTGAGGTACGTTTGTTCACTCTGACCACAGAAACTAGAGTCAGCTCCCATCTTTAAGGACATAAACACTGACACATCGCTGTGGTTCTAACCAGCTCACTGCCAAGACTGCAGACTCTCCATATCTGACTCACAACTTGCTTTTAGGAGTGTAACGATGCACTTTACAGGTTTTATATGATTTCTATTTCTGAGATTCGATTGGATTTCCCATATTTCATGTGATAAAATGTCTTGAGTCTACAGGGATCTAATTATATACCATCTTTCAAAAACAAACATATCTGCCGTACAGTTTTACATTTCCATACCGTGATTTAACGATCATTTTACTTCCAGCTGCAATAAGAACTGGTGATGAGGCAAGTGGCTCAGTTGTAGAGTGATGTGTTTTATTTATATTTTATTTATTTTAAATCACTTAACGAAACAGTACAGTAGCAAACATACAAAACACAACCCCACCAACCCCCCACCAAAGCCCAAACACCCAGTACTTGTTTGTGAGTTTGGACCATGCCTTCAACATGGCGGTGGTAGTATGAGGGAAGACTGATTGAGGGAGGGGGAGAACTCTGAGAACTTGGCTGGAGTTCTGGGCAGCTTCTGCCTGTAGTTAGAAGGCTGGACCCCCTCATAGCTGTAGTAGGACTGATGTAGGACTGAGGAACAGGGAGAAGATGGGGTGACGGTGGGGATTGCGAACCCATCGTCACGGGAACGGAAGGTGAGGATGTGAATTTATATGGGCGTTAGATTGGAAGAAGGAGGGGTTTCAGGCATGTTCCTCCCCTGAAACATCAGTTATAACGTAACTACACTAAGTATGAATCCGACTGCCTCTATTTTATTAGCTGTTTCTCGTTTGATCACTGCTTTTATTAGTGTCAGTAATGAGGTTATTTGGTTCTGTTCTAGTGTTCTGGTGAATCCTCCCAGCAGTATAAAGATCAAGAACCGAACTCTGGGATTTTTCATTGCCAGCAATGCAGCTCATGCAAAAAGGTACAGCCACTCCAGAGGCTTATAATAAATATTGCTATATGTAAATAAGTACTTTATTTGCTGTTTGTGCTGGTGTGTATTTTAGGGCCAGCCTCTACTGCCTCAGGTGTCATTCTGACATCAAAGACCCGACCAAGATGAGGCCCTGTACATGCAACAACTGTAAAGATGGTAAACCAGCACCTGTCCATTCAAAATGCTTAATGTTACAGACAAAACTCAGGCTGCTACTGTTTTTAGCTATGTTAACATCTTATTTGTTCACTTTAAAGACAACAGTTTGTCACACAGTGTCAGAAACTGCAGTAGCTTCGGCTAACACTAGATGGCGACACCGGACTATTGTATAATACCAGACCTCAAAGTGCTTCAGTACGTTTGAGCTACTGAACCCCAGCCATTACCCTTAAAAACAAAACACACCCAGACGTGCACACAAAAGAAGTTGTGATGCAATTTTCCACACCTAGATTCTGCATTGTCCTGGGCCAAACGTAAAGGAAGAATTCAAATAAATGAATGAAAGTAAAGCAGTAGCCACCAGTCAGCATGGAGCCTTTCTGAACAATGTTAATCTGGGATTATTTGCTTTCATTGGCATTATTAGCAATGCTAGCTAAACTATTCCTTTAATCTGCGGCCAACTTTAATTCTGCAGTGCTAATAGTTGTTATTGAAGAGTAGTAAAGCAGAACACAGTGTGATGCAGTCATGAATGTGTGTTTTAGTGCCCTCCAGAAACTTCTCCACTGTCAATCTGGGCTGCCGAAGGCCTTCTCTCGGAGTGCTGTCCTGCAGGTGAGACACATTGGAAGTGGCCACTTATCACGAATTCCTGAATTAAAAAAACTGAGAACACTATGTAGAACATTATTATCAGGGAACAGAAATGACCTATAGTAGTGTTCTGTATACTGCTCCAACGTAGGCCTATAGTAGTGTTCTGTATACTGCTCCAGGGTAGGCCTATAGTAGTGTTCTGTATACTGCTCCAACGTAGGCCTATAGTAGTGTTCTGTATACTGCTCCAGGGTAGGCCTATAGTAGTGTTCTAGATACTGTTCCAGTGTAGCCCTATAGTAGTGTTCTGTATACTGCTCCAATGTAGGCCTATAGTAGTGTTCTAGATACTGTTCCAATGTAGGCCTTTAGTAGTGTTCTAGATACTGTTCCAGGGTAGGCCTATAGTAGTGTTCTGTATATTGTTCCAGTGTAGCCCTATAATAGTGTTGTGTATACTGCTCCAACGTAGGCCTATAGTAGTGTTCTAGATACTGTTCCAATGTAGGCCTATAGTAGTGTTCTAGATACTGTTCCAGGGTAGGCCTATAGAAGTGTTCTGTATATTGTTCCAGTGTAGCCCTATAATAGTGTTGTGTATACTGCTCCAACGTAGGCCTATAGTAGTGTTCTGTATACTGATCCAGTGTAGGCCTATAGTAGTGTTCTGTATATTGATCCAGTGTAGGCCTATAGTAGTGTTCTGTATACTGATCCAGTGTAGGCCTATAGTAGTGTTCTGTATATTGATCCAGTGTAGGCCTATAGTAGTGTTCTGTATATTGATCCAGTGTAGGCCTATAGTAGTGTTCTGTATACTGATCCAGTGTAGGCCTATAGTAGTGTTCTGTATATTGATCCAGTGTAGGCCTATAGTAGTGTTCTGTATACTGTTCCAATGTAGGCCTATAGTAGTGTTCTGTATACTGTTCCAATGTAGGCCTATAGTAGTGTTGTGTATACTGTTCCAATGTAGGCCTATAGTAGTGTTGTGTATACTGCTCCAACGTAGGCCTATAGTAGTGTTCTAGATACTGTTCCAGGGTAGGCCTATAGTAGTGTTCTGTATACTGCTCCAACGTAGGCCTATAGTAGTGTTCTGTATACTGCTCCAACGTAGGCCGATAGTAGTGTTCTGTATACTGTTCCAATGTAGGCCTATAGTAGTGTTGTGTATACTGCTCCAACGTAGGCCTATAGTAGTGTTCTAGATACTGTTCCAGGGTAGGCCTATAGTAGTGTTCTGTATATTGTTCCAGTGTAGCCCTATAATAGTGTTGTGTATACTGCTCCAATGTAGGCCTATAGTAGTGTTCTGTATACTGCTCCAACGTAGGCCTATAGTAGTGTTCTAGATACTGTTCCAGGGTAGGCCTATAGTAGTGTTCTAGATACTGTTCCAATGTAAACCTAAAGTAGTGTTCTGTATACTGCTCCAATATAGGCATTTAGTACTGTTCTAGATACTGTTCCAGTGTAGGCCTATAGTAGTGTTCTGTATACTGCTCCAATGTAGGCCTATAGTACTGTTTTATATACTTCTCCATTATAGGCATTTAGTACTGTTCTAGACATTGTTCCAATGTAGACCTATAGTAGTGTTCTGTATACTGCTCCAGTGAACACTTATAGTAGTGTTCTGTATACTGTTCCAATGTAGGCCTATAGTAGTGTTCTAGATACTGTTCCAGTGTAGGCCTATAGTAGTGTTCTGTATACAGCTCCAGTGTAGGCCTATAGTAGTGTTCTGTATACTGTTCCAATGTAGGCCTTTAGTAGTGTTCTAGATACTGTTCTAGTGTAGGCCTATAGTAGTATTCTGTATACTGCTCCAGTGTAGGCCTATAGTAATGTTCTGTATACTGTTCCAGTGTAGGCCTATAGTAGTGTTCTGTATACTGCTCCAATGTAGGTCTTTAGTGGTGTTCTAGATACTGTTCCAGTGTAGGCCTATAGTAGTGTTCTGTATACTGCTCCAATGTAGGCCTATAGTAGTGTTCTGTATACTGCTCCAATGTAGGCCTATAGTAGTGTTCTGTATACTGCTCCAATGTAGGCCTATAGTAGTGTTCTAGATACTGTTCTAGTGTAGGCCTATAGTAGTGTTCTGTATACTGCTCCAATGTAGGCCTATAGTAGTGTTCTGTATACTGCTCCAATGTAGGCCTATAGTAGTGTTCTGTATACTGCTCCAATGTAGGCCTATAGTAGTGTTCTGTATACTGCTCCAATGTAGGCCTATAGTAGTCTTCTAGATACTGTCCTAGTGTAAACCTATAGTAGTGTTCTGTATATGGCTCCAATATAGGCATTTAGTAGTGTTCTAGATACTGTTCCAGTGTAGGCCTATAGTAGTGTTCTGTATACTGCTGCAATGTAGGCCTATAGTAGTGTTCTAGATACTGTTCCAGTGTAGGCCTATAGTAGTGTTCTGTATACTGTTCCAGTGTAGGCCTATAGTAGTGTTCTGTATACTGCTCCAATGTAGGTCTTTAGTAGTGTTCTAGATACTGTTCCAGTGTAGGCCTATAGTAGTGTTCTGTATACTGCTCCAATGTAGGCCTATAGTAGTGTTCTAGATACTGTTCCAGTGTAGGCCTATAGTAGTGTTTTGTATACTGTTCCAGTGTAGGCCTATAGTAGTGTTCTGTATACTATTCCAGTGTAGGCCTATAGTAGTGTTCTGTATACTGCTCCAATGTAGGTCTTTAGTAGTGTTCTAGATACTGTTTCCAGTGTAGGCCTATAGTAGTGTTCTGTATACTGTTCCAGTGTAGGCCTATAGTAGTGTTCTGTATACTGCTCCAATGTAGGTCTTTAGTAGTGTTCTAGATACTGTTCCAGTGTAGGCCTATAGTAGTGTTCTGTATACTGTTCCAGTGTAGGCCTATAGTAGTGTTCTGTATACTGCTCCAATGTAGGTCTTTAGTAGTGTTCTAGATACTGTTCCAGTGTAGGCCTATAGTAGTGTTCTGTATACTGTTCCAGTGTAGGCCTATAGTAGTGTTCTGTATACTGTTCCAGTGTAGGCCTATAGTAGTGTTCTGTATACTGCTCCAATGTAGGTCTTTAGTAGTGTTCTAGATACTGTTCCAGTGTAGGCCTATAGTAGTGTTCTGTATACTGCTCCATTGTAGGCCTATAGTAGTGTTCTGTATACTGTTCCAGTGTAGGCCTATAGTAATGTTCTGTATACTGTTCCAGTGTAGGCCTATAGTAGTGTTCTAGATACTGCTCCATTGTAGGCCTATAGTAGTGTTCTGTATACTGTTCCAGGGTAGGCCTATAGTAGTGTTTTGTATACTGTTCCAGTGTAGGCCTATAGTAGTGTTCTGTATACTATTCCAGTGTAGGCCTATAGTAGTGTTCTGTATACTGCTCCAATGTAGGTCTTTAGTAGTGTTCTAGATACTGTTCCAGTGTAGGCCTATAGTAGTGTTCTGTATACTGTTCCAGTGTAGGCCTATAGTAGTGTTCTGTATACTGCTCCAATGTAGGTCTTTAGTAGTGTTCTAGATACTGTTCCAGTGTAGGCCTATAGTAGTGTTCTGTATACTGTTCCAGTGTAGGCCTATAGTAGTGTTCTGTATACTGCTCCAATGTAGGTCTTTAGTAGTGTTCTAGATACTGTTCCAGTGTAGGCCTATAGTAGTGTTCTGTATACTGTTCCAGTGTAGGCCTATAGTAGTGTTCTGTATACTGTTCCAGTGTAGGCCTATAGTAGTGTTCTGTATACTGCTCCAATGTAGGTCTTTAGTAGTGTTCTAGATACTGTTCCAGTGTAGGCCTATAGTAGTGTTCTGTATACTGCTCCATTGTAGGCCTATAGTAGTGTTCTGTATACTGTTCCAGTGTAGGCCTATAGTAATGTTCTGTATACTGTTCCAGTGTAGGCCTATAGTAGTGTTCTAGATACTGCTCCATTGTAGGCCTATAGTAGTGTTCTGTATACTGTTCCAGGGTAGGCCTATAGTAATGTTCTGTATACTGTTCCAGTGTAGGCCTATAGTAGTGTTCTGTATACTGATCCAGTGTAGGCCTATAGTAGTGTTCTGTATACTGTTCCAGTGTAGGCCTATAGTAATGTTCTGTATACTGTTCCAGTGTAGGCCTATAGTAGTGTTCTGTATACTGTTCCAGTGTAGGCCTATAGTAGTGTTCTGTATTCTGTTCCAGTGTAGGTCTTTAGTAGTGTTCTGTATACTGTTCCAGTGTAGGCCTATAGTAGTGTTCTGTATACTGCTCCAATGTAGGTCTTTAGTAGTGTTCTAGATACTGTTCCAGTGTAGGCCTATAGTAGTGTTCTGTATACTGCTCCATTGTAGGCCTGTAGTAGTGTTCTGTATACTGCTCCATTGTAGGCCTATAGTAGTGTTCTGTATACTGCTCCATTGTAGGCCTATAGTAGTGTTCTGTATACTGATCCAGTGTAGGCCTATAGTAATGTTCTGTATACTGTTCCAGTGTAGGCCTATAGTAGTGTTCTAGATACTGCTCCATTGTAGGCCTATAGTAGTGTTCTGTATACTGTTCCAGTGTAGGCCTATAGTAGTGTTCTGTATTCTGTTCCAATGCAGGCCTATAGTAGTGTTCTAGATACTGTTTCAGTGTAGGCCTATAGTAGTGTTCTGTATGCTGCTCCAATGTAGGCCTATAGTAGTGTTCTAGATACTGCTCCAAGGTAGGCCTATAGTAGTGTTCTGTATATTGTTTCTGTGTAGGCCTATAGTAGTGTTCTAGATACTGATCCAACATAGACCTATAGTATTGTTCTAGATACTGTTACAGTGTATGCCTTCAGTAATGTTCTGTGTAGAGCTCCAATCTACGGAACAGTGATTAGGGGACCTTTTCTGTTCACTATAGTAGTGTTCTATATAGTGCTGTAATGTAGGGACAAATGTCTTCTGACCATTATAACATTACAGAAGGATACTAATAGTGTTCTATATAGTGAATAGGGCATAATTGTGGACATAGCTTTGGGGCACTGTGAGAACTGACTCTAGATCAGCATGTTTAAATAGTAGAAAGTAAAAGACTAAATAGTGGGAGGGTCAGTGAGAGTGTCTTTAGTGGCGGCCTGGTTGGTCAGTGTGATGGCGGGGGACTGAAGCTTGAGTGAGTGTGTGGGAGTGTGTTGATGAGAGTTCAGTGCCATTCATCAGCGCTGCAGTGTGGACCAGAGGGCCAGGAGTGTGTGTGTGTGTGTGTGTGTGTGTGTGTGTGTGTGTGTGTGAAGTGAAATAGAGGCCTGGATTGACACAGTGATAAATGAGTGCTGTTCCCCAGCCAGCCTCACTCTACCAGCATTAATGCTGAGAGAGAGAGAGAGAGAGAGAGAGAGAGAGAGAGAGAGAGAGATGTCAGTAGATGAGTTACAGAGCAGATTAGAACTGAGATAAATCAGGTTTGTCTATCTCACTTTCTTCCACTGTCTCTGATGTCAGCATTTTAAAACTGAACCTGCAATGCATCACATCAGTCAAAACTGGGAGAAAATGTGTGTGTGAGTGCTGGTGTGTGTGTGTGTGTGTGTGTGTGTGTGTGTGTGTGTTACATACCAAAAGTGTTATTTGTTATTTTATGTATTAATTAATTCAAATGATGTCAACATAACACATTTGCTGGCATTTAGTTTAACAAGACTGAATAAATACTTAAAAACAAAAAAATGTTTTTATAGAATGAAACACACAGTTTCCCCTCAGCAGCTTCCAACACTGCTTAACACAGCACGCCACTCAGCATTAAAGGGCCCATATTATGGTAAAACTGTGTGTGCCTTTAGTAGTGTTCTAGATACTGCTCCAGTGTAGACCTTTAGTAGTGTTCTAGATACTGCTCCAATTTAGGCCTTTAGTAATGTTATAGACACTTATCCGGTGTAGGCCTTTAGTAGTGTTCTGTATACTGCTCCAATGTAGGCCTATAGTAGTGTTCTATATATACTGTTCCAGTGTAGGCCTATATAAGTGTTCTAGATACTCTTCTAGTGTAGGCCTTTAGTAGTGTTTTAGATACTCTTCCAATGTAGGCCTATAGTAGTATTCTAGACACTTCTCCAGTATAGGCTTTTAGTAGTGTTCTAGATACTCTTCCAATGTAGGCCTATAGTAGTGTTCTACACACTTCTCCGGTGTAGGCCTTTAGTAGTGTTCTAGAAACTGCTCCAATGTAGGCCTTTAGTAGTGTCCTAGATACTGTTTCAGTGTAGGCCTATAGAAGTGTTCTAGATACTGTTCCAATGTAGGCCTATAGTAGTGTTCTACACACTTCTCCGGTGTAGGCCTTTAGTAGTGTTCTAGAAACTGCTCCAATGTAGGCCTTCAGTAGTGTCCTAGATACTGTTTCAGTGTAGGCCTATAGAAGTGTTCTAGATACTGTTCCAATGTAGGCCTATAGTAGTGTTCTATATATACTGTTCCAGTGTAGGCCTATGTAAGTGTTCTAGATACTCTTCTACTGTAGGCCTTTAGTAGTGTTTTAGATACGCTTCCAATGTATGCCTATAGTAGTGTTCTAGACACTTCTCCAGTATAGGCTTTTAGTAGAGTTCTAGATACTCTTCCAATGTAGCCCTATAGTAGTGTTCTACACACTTCTCCGGTGAAGGCCTTTAGTAGTGTTCTAGAAACTGCTCCAGTGTAGGCCTTTAGTAGTGTCCTAGATACTCTTCCAGTGTAGGCCTATAGTAGTGTTCTAGACACTTCTCTGGTGTAGGCCTTTAGTAATGTTCTAGACACTTCTCCGTTGTAGGCCTTTAGTAGTGCTCTAGATACTGCTCCAATGTAGGCCTTTAGTAGTGTTCTAGATTTTTTCCAATGTAGCCTGTAGTAGTGTTCTAGATACTCTTCCAAGGTACGCCTGTAGTAGTGTTCTATATACTATTCCATATGTGTGTGTGTGTGTGTGTGTGTATGTGCGTGTGTATGTGTATATATACTTACTCTTATACATTACATATATATTACATTACATTAACTATGTAGGCCTGTTGCTTCTATGATACAATGACTGTATCATGAAATGCTTCTCAGTCGATCAGCAGGCTGTGCCGTCTGAACTAGCTGTTGTATGAATAACATGTTTGAGTGGTTATATTGTGATGTTTTTGTGCGTCGTGCTGTCAGTATATACACAGAAATGTGTGTATGTAATGATTTGTGTTGTAGTCGCTCAGATCAGCTGTGTGAGCTCGGCCTGACTGAGAAACAGCTGCAGCAGTGTGTGGGCCGAATGGAGAGGGAGGAAGTGAAGCTGGACTCGACTGGATTGTTCCACTGGTGTACACCGGTACCACTGCAGGACGTCACCCTGGTCAGGCTTTCGTACTTTGTTTTCATACTTTTTAGAACAAAGTTGTCCTGAAATCAAAATACAAAAACAGTTCTGACCTACAGAACCGACAAAATACTCCTGACTTCGTAGAACAAGAAAAAAACAGTTGTAACCTACAGAACCGACAAAATACTCTTGACTTTTAGTAGAACCAAAGATAAGCAGTTCTAACCTACAGAACCAACAAAATGCTCCATACTTTGTGGTAGAACCAGAGAAAAACAGTTCTAACCTACAGAACCGACAAAATACTCCCAGCTTCATAGTAGAACCATAGAAAACCAGATAAAAAATGTGTTTTAGATGGTTCTACATTGAATCTTTTTAAAAAGGGTTCTATATAGCACCAAAAGGGTTTTACTATTGTATATAAGCTTGGCAAGCAGAACCTCTTTTGGTGCTATATAGAACCAGTTTCAACAAGGTTCTATATAGAACCATACACAACACACTCCATCATTCTGAAGAACACTTTAATCATGCAAAGCGTTCTTTTTTAGTGCTCATGGTTCTTTATAGAACCCTTTTCTTTACTAAACCACCCTTGAAGACCATTTTTTAAACTGTATACAGAACTAACCATTCCCCAGAAAAAAAAAGGGTTTTTTTAACAAAAGCTCCATATTAATTAATGTTTTGTTATTATTATTAATATTACACACACCGATCATGTTTTCTACACTCATTGTCCATTTTATCAGCTCCACTTACTATATAGGTGCACTTTGTAGTTCTACAGTTACAGACTGTAGTCCATCTGTTTCTCTGCATACTTTGTTAGCCCTCTTTTACCCTGTTCTTCATTGGTCAGGACCCCCATGGACCCTCACAGAGCAGGTACTATTTGGGTGGTGGATCATTTTCAGCACTGCAGTAACACTGACGTGGTGGTCGTGTGTTAGTGTGTGTTGTGCTGGTGTGAGTGGATCAGACACAGCAGTGCTGCTGGAGTTTTTAAACACTGTGTCCACTGACTGTCCACTCTATTAGACACTCCTACCTCGTTGGTCCACCTTGTAGCTGTAAAGTCAGAGACGATAGCTCATCTGCTGCTGCACAGTTTGTGTTGGTCATCCTCTAGTCCTTCATCAGTGGTCACAGGACGCTGCCCACAGGACGCTGTTGGCTGGATATTTTTGGTTGGTGGTCTATTCTCAGTCCAGCAGTGACACTGAGGTGTTTAAAATCTCCAGCAGCACTGCTGTGTCTGATCCACTCGTACCAGCACAACACATGATGATCCATCACCCAAATAGTACCTGCTCTGTGAGGGTCCATGGGGGTCCTGACCACTGAAGAACAGGGTAAAAGAGGGCTAACAAAGTATCAGAGAAACAGATGGACTACAGTCTGTAACTGTAGAACTACAAAGTGCACCTATATAGTAAGTGGAGCTGATAAAATGGACAATGAGCGTAGAAACAAGGAGGTGGTCATAATGTTATGCCTGACTGTATGTATGTAATGTATGTAATAACACATAGATACATAATGTATGTAATGCCTGTATGTACTGTGATTGGTATGAGGAATATGGATGTGCCTGTAATCGGTGAAAAGAAGGCCACACTTTCTAAATCAAATGTGCCAGAATTACTCATTAAAGTAGAAATTAGAAGCATCACTGATGTGTTTCTTCTAATTTAAGCCTAAAACATCCAGCTGTGTCCTAAAGAAGTCCAGTTTAAGACCGGCAGCACTGCTTGCTGTTATATTTCATCATCATTGTGATAAATAATAACAAACAATAATATAGAGATGGAAACATTTATATTCACTGTCTGTCAAAAGTTTGGGGACTGTTCAACAAGAGCAAGTTTTCTTTGTTCTCTGTGCTTTTCCAGTTTGTACCTACAGCTCAGTGTACGTATGTATGTGTTTGTGTCCAGACGCGACAGGCCGCCCGGTCGTTAGCGCTGAGGGATCACGTGTTGGTGTGCGTGTTTGGAGACGAGCGGTCCAGTCTGCTGGGGCTGAGTGATTTTATGATGCCGCTGAGGGCCAGCAGCCTGACCTCTCTGGAGTTGAAGACCGTGGTGTTTCTGGCCGATCCGCTGTACTTCAGCCGAGAGTGGCCCAGCATCCGCTACTTCCCCCACGTCTACTTCCTGCCTGTTAGTATCACAGCCTGCCTAAGACTGTAGATATCACAGTGAATCTCTGCCAGGCGATCACTGATATTTTAAGAAGTATCTTTTGCCTTTGAAATTTTTCAATTTAATTACATTTAGATATGCAAATGAGACATTACATTTGCATTTTTAAAACAGACGTAGCTTTTTATGATATTAGAAATTCAAATATTTATTCAACCCCTTAAACTCTCAGGCTTATTACATACTAAGGCTTATTATTCAGTAACTACAGGGACTTCAGTGCAAATGGGTTGAGCTATTCTTAGGTTATAGAAGTGTGCAATAAAACTCTGGGCTCGCCGGTGGGCTCTGGCCTTTTTAGGGGTTAATTGTGAAAACAGATTCCCAGAAAAGATTTGCACCGAACAGATCAAGATCAAAATCAAAATAACACTGTTGCGCTGTTTTTACAAAGTGTTTTTCTGGTCATTTTGGAGTACAAAATCTAGCATAAATCCAGCTAATAGCAAAAGGAAAATGCTTCTATAATTTCCTTCAGAGTAGGGTTAAAAATTAACACGTAGATAAGTGAAAATGAGATTTTTGGTTCTGAATGTAGAGAAAAGCTGATTTTGAAAAAAAAAATATTTTAAGAATGTATGTATCCAGGGGGTCTCAGAAAACATGCACCGTTTGTCATTAGTACTAAAGAAGTAGACTTATTCGATTACTCAGGTTAGTTTCTACAGGAAACGAGCATTTCAGTGATATATGACATGAGAGGGTTGTGTGGGCGGAGCTAGGCACACATCATCAAAATAATCAGGTTAGTTAGCCAGACAGCTAACGTTAGCTACCGTTACTGATATAAAAAGGTAAAACAAAACTAAAGTGCAATAAACTTGAAGTTAAGAATAGTTTGTGAGCGCCCCCTGCTGTTTATCAGAGAGTCGCCCCTCCACAGTTTCAGTCTCTACTTCCCAGAGCGCGCTAACGTTGTTCCTCCTAATAAACAGACACACGTTCCTCATTATTCACCACCATCAAAAAACTTGACAAGTCAAATCACCGTTTTCAGTGTAGATCAATGGAGCGTCACTATACCAGCTATAGTGAACTGAGCTGCATAAAACAGTAGAAACAGACGGTTAAACAGAAGTTGAGACCCTCTGGGGTTTATTTTAAAGTTAGGACAGGGTTTAGGAGATTTAGTCTAGTTAGGATGTTTGTGTAATTTTCTTAATGGAAAAGATGAGAACATAAGAACTGTTTAATAGATTAAGTTCAGTTCTAACTGAAATACATAAGTAATACATTCGAAATACATAAGTAAGTCGGTAAATAAGTCAGTAAGTAAGTAGGTCAGTAGGAAAGTCAGTAAGTAAGTAAGTCAGCAAGTAAGTAAGTAGGTAAGTCAGTAGGTAAGTAAGTAAGTCAGTAAGGAAGTCAGTTAGTAAGTCAGTAAGTACGTCAGTCAGTAAGTAAGTAAGTCAGTAAGGAAGTCAGTAAGTAAGTACGTCAGTAAGGAAGTCAGTTAGTAAGTCAGTAAGTACATAAATGAGACAGTAAGTCAGTGAGTCAGTAAGTACATAAATGAGTCAGTAAGTAATTAAGTAAGTAAGTCAGTAAATAATAAATGAGATTAAAAAATGAAATTAAACAATATTTCACGTTCGTGTTTATCAGCAATGCAGATTTTTATCTGCTTTGTTTTGAGAACAGTATTAATGATGAATGTTCATAATCCGACACTGTAACAGTGCTTTTGTGTAGGGTGTTACGAACGTAAGGACGGACCTCTTTTATCTCTGAGCCAAACTGAGTCGTAGTGCATAAACAGAAATATTCCATCACATATAAAAAGGGTAAAACATCCCATTTGAACGGCAGCAACAACAACAACGATAAAATGAAACCTTATTAGCTGACCTATCCCAGTTTACTTCATATATTTAGATATTTTAAGATATTTAATGGTTATTCAGTCATCTAATGATTATATCTGCATTGAATTGCCCCGTTATATAAGACCCCTCTGGTCTTGTGGTCTGAGGCCTGAGGCCCTTCGTGTCAGAGGCACTGGCCCCACTGCCTGTATCCCTGCCTGTAGACTCGCTTTAAAAGAGTTTGATCTTGCCTGTAAACTTTGTTAAACTTTCTAAAAGTATAATTCAGTCCATAAAAGGAAACTAAACTCTAAAATCAGCTTGTTTTGATTTCATCATGGTTGTGATGTCAGAGCCATAAATATGCTTACATTTGACCATCCATTCGGCCCATAGCAGTTTCGCCCCGCCCATTCCCGTTGAAGTGATGCAGAGTGTTGTTCCCCACAGAGTTATTAGAGTGGGGAAAGAGATTAAACGTTCTGCTGATCTTGGCTGTCGGGAAGCAGCGTTCCAAAGGATCCACACATCCGAAAGAGGCAGCTGAAGTTTATTTTTTCCGACATTCCTGAGGATTTCAGTCTGAACTTAACAGTTTGTGCTGGACGTTTCGGCCCTGACCGCTTTTTGAACATGGTGTGCCTCATGTCACTCTGAAGGGGTCAGCCGATCAGAACGGAGAACATTTACATTTATGTGAACGGCACAGTAAGAAAAAACAGCAGGTCTAACTGAAGGGATGAAGAGAGGCTGGAAAATATCATGTAAAGATGAATGACAGACACCAGTGTCATTAGCTGACCTGAGGAGAAAGAATTACACACAAGAAAAATGTAGAATAAGAGGCCTGTAAAAGTGACCACACTCGCCTGAATTTGCTAAATAGACGCTTTCTTTCTCTCTCTCTCTCTCTCTCTCTCTCTCTCCCTCTCTCTCTCCCTCTCTCTTTCTCTCTCAGGGTTCTCCTCTGTGTGGAGCTGATCTGAAGGCCCTGTCTGTGGAGAGGTGTGTGATGTGTGTGGTGTTGAATGCGTTCAGCTGTGTGCGAGGGGACGAGCCGGCCATGCAGGACAAAGAGACCATCCTGTCCTGCATTAA